TGCATCCCCCCAGTCAGTATGCATGGCATTTCTGTGATCGTCCCAGACACGCACAGAGCAGTGAAAGAACTGAGCCACCTGATGTGCAATTTCCAGCAGTGGCTGAGCCACGCGGTGCCTGCCTCATTGTTGTGGGGCCTGTCATATAAACCAGCATTCTCTTTGCAAAAGTAATCTTATTTATTTCAGAGAGAGAATGTGAAACCGCCCATCCACTGGTTTACTATGCAAATTGCTACAACATCCAGGGCTGAACCAAGCCAAAGCTGAGTGCACAGAATTTAATCTGATCTCCCATACTGGCAACAGGGACCCAAGGACTCAAGCTGTATCCGCCTCTGGAAGTGTATGTTAGCAGGAAGCTGGAGCGGGGAGCGGGCTGGGACTCCAGCCTCGTCACACCCATCACTGAACGTGGGCATCCCGAATGCCACTGGAGCTGCTACACCAAACACGCCCCGCTGCCCTCAGCTGTGGTCTCGGCTCTTTAGTTAATGTGCTTTGTTTTGGTTTTCGGCTTTGTGCTTTTTTCTCGGTGATTTTGCCCTTAAGATTAACCCCCCAAGAAGAGCCGTAGTGTTCTAGAAGTGTCCTATTGTGCTTACAGAGCAGATACGAGTGTCAGGTAAGCTCTGTGTGGTCATGAGTTAGAGTGCTTCCAGCTGTGAGTTCAGTGGTAAATGAATCAACAATATACCTTACACAAGCTGTCTTTACACAGAAGCAAAAAGATTTATTTTATTTTAATTGGAAAGGCAAGTATACAGAGAGAAAGAGAGACAGAGAGGAGAATCTTCCATTCGATAATTCATCCCCAAGCGGCCGCAATGGCCATAGTTGAGCTGATCTGAAGCCAGGAACCTCTTCTGTGTCTCTCACACGGGTGCAGGGTCCCAGGGCTTTGTGCCATCCTTGACTGCTTTCCCAGGCCACAAGCAGGGAGCTAGATGGGAAGCAGGATCCCATATGGGATCCTGGCGCTATGTTATGGTGCTGGGCCCCAAATTGACTTTTGAAGAACAGATTTACCAAGTCTGATGAGGATTAATGAGAGAGAGAAAGGAGGAAAAAGAAACGAAGGAAGGAAAGAAGAAAGAAAGCGAGATTGAGGAATCTCACTGACCCGGTGAAACCACACCTGGATGAGCTGCAAGCACTTTGCTCCCGCAGAAAAGGAGAGTCTCTGGTCTCAAAGCACAGGCCACCATGGAGCCGGGGAGGCGAATTTCAGAGCTGCAACCCAGGGTGGTGTGGTAAGAGCCCCTGGTCCCCCTCCGTGTCACTCGCGACCTGGTAATGACAGAGAGAATGCAGAAATTAGAAGCTACTACTACAAGTGGTAAAAGATGTGTATTCATAAAACAAAAATAAGATGCTATGAAAAAGATATGATAAGGGAATAAGAAAAAGCTTTTGAGTCTTCAAAATGTTCATTTAAAAGCTGGAACGTAAAGTGAAGGAACACTCTCAGAAGAGGAACTGGAAAGACAGTAAGAAAATAGGAGTGGAGAAGTTAATAACATGAAAGCTTCAGGCCCCAATTTTTCCTTACCAAAAGGTCCAGAAAGAAAACAGAAAACGGAGGGAGAAAAGTTATCAAAGGGAAAAAGGAGAACACTTTTTGGAATTGAAGGACAAGAATCCCGAGATTATGAGACCATCAAGTAAACAGTCCTTTTACTAAAAATGACCCACATTAAGTCACATTCTTGTGAAATTCTGGAACTCCCTGGAGAGGAAAAAAATCCCCAAAACTTCCAAAGCAATGCAACAGTTTATACTCAAAGGATTAGCAATGACAAAAGCTATCGCAGTGGCAGGCTTAGCGTCTGGCCCCTCCTGGAGCAGTCCTTGACAATCCTGGGCAGGGCATTGGTTTACTGGTTAAGAGGTCAGTTGGGACACTTGCATCCTAGACAGGAATGCCTTGCCTCCAGTTCTAGCTCTGCTCCCGCTCCAGCCTTCTGCCAGTGCCTTGACTAATTGAATTCCTGCAACTCGCATGAAGTTTCTGGCTCCTGACTTTGGCCCCAATCCTACCCTGGACATTGTGGGCATTTGGGGAGTTAATTAGTAGATGGGATCGCTCTCTGTACCCAAACCATGAGTGAAGGGAAGGATGGGGACTTCTTCAGGAAACTTCTAGGGACTTCTAGGTCATTGCTTCCTTACGAGCAGGCAGAGGATGTGCTCCAGCAAACTGAGAGGCAAACCAGAAGAGAAGAGGTGGCCGTCAGCACCAGTGCAGGGAGAACCCAGGGGTGGAGGACAGCCAGACCGGACTGGAGCAAGGCTTCGGAGAGCTCGGGGGAGCAGATGGAGCTGATGTCCACAGGCGCATGGGACATCTGATGGGCATGGAACAGAGCTGCAGCTGTGCCATGGCACCCTCTGGGCACTGGTCCTAGGACCCCCTGCAGATGCCCAAGTCTGCAGATGCTGAGTCCCTTATATAAAATAGCATTTCATGTAACCCACACAGTCCTCTCCCGTGCTCGCCGTCATCTCTAGATTACTTATAACACTTAATACAAGGTAAATGCCACGCAAATTGTTTAGAGTATAATGAGACAAAAGAAAAAATACCTATTCTGAACAAGCTCAGTTTTTTGAAAGCTGTTTTCTATATTTGGATGCTTAGATACAAACTCGCATAGGTGGGAGGTTGACTGTATTGTACACGTGGAATCAATTAGTTATGGGTTCATGCCCATCCAGGCAGATGAAAAATGTTGAGGTAATGATTAACTCCAGAAAAAAATAAAGGGTTACCAGAGCCTATGAACCTGTGTCACATAATGCAACGTAATTAATAATAAAAAAAAACGAAAAAATAAAGGGTTATACTAAAAAGAAGGCATGCTTCCTACCTGTTACTTGACCCAACACTGAGCATCATCCATAAAGTTACAACAGGTCAAATAATTCGTTTTAAAATATTATTTTTATATGAAGGGCAGAGTTATAGAGAGGGAGGGAAAGACGCACAGAGAGAGCTTCCATCTGTGGGTTCACTCCCCAAATGGCTGCAGCATCTCAAGCTGGGCCAGGCCAAAGCCTGGAGCTTCGTCCCGTCTCCCACACGGGTGGCAGGAGCCCAGATAGGAATCGGCTCAACCTGCTGGGCCACAATGCCAGCTCTCAACACATCGACTTTTTGGATTTCATTAAAAATTACACAATCACTATTTGAGGCACTGAGAGATGACCAATGTGGATGGGTGTGCTAAGGTTTTATTTCCACAGTAGAAATCCATCAGTAGCTGAAATTGACCAATAACATAATAGTCATATAGATGTTGGACGTTCATGCTTTGGTAGCAAGTTCACAAAACATGCAGAAATGGTATCCGTAGGAGTCTTCTTCCCTCCAGTGCCTCAGCCCTTCTCCTCGGGCACCAGGGGCAGATCGGCCCCATCTCTGTTCTCAGGAAGGGAGATGGAGACCCACTCCTAACTGCCATTCGAACAAAGGAAGCCGAATTCTTCTTTACACACAGTCAGGTGCAAGCAGCCAAATCTTCTCTTTCAAATTGCTTTTCGTGCTGGTTGCTTTCGGGGATGGAAGGGACGGGCTGGGGCTGGGAGATGCAGACAGACCCTGAGGATACAGGCTGTCTCTCTGGACCTTGAACCCATCCACCCCTTATTCCTTCCTTGTTTAGAAGATTTTAAAACTGATCAAAGGTCACGTGCATTTTCCGGTCATCCCGCATCCAGTTGTCAGACTGTCTGCAGCATGACTGGGAGGGATGGGGGTGTATCGTGGGCTGTGTGTTCCTGCTGTCACCTCACAGCCACTGCAGAAATGATGGGGACAAAGCGAACCAGAGACACAAGTACAAACGGCCACCTTCCGCGCAGGTTGGAAAGCCATGGGACATGGCCTGGTCTTTTCACACCCGAGGTGTGATTGGAGATTATGCGCCCACCGCGGGAGAGTAGAGAGTTAATTAAAATGTTGCTCCCACTCCCGGGATGAGATGTCTCTCCGTGTGATGAGCAGGCTGGCTTTGGAGTGCTGTGGGTTGCTTTCTTGTCCTCTCATCAAGTGTCGCAGAAAAGCAGATTAAAGAGCCTGCCATGCGAAGCTGCTGCCTGCCACCTCTCCCCGCTAATGGACTTTGAAGGCGCCTTCCCCGGACCACGTGCTGCAAGCACCCCCATCCTGAGGCTTCAGCACTGAGTGCGCAGGCCAGCCTTCCTGGGTGCTTACCATTGATTAAGTCAGGCCCCTCTCACAAGGCTGGGTGTGCAGAGCTCCTGGCCCCTGCCTGTTGTGCTTAACCTATGGGCTTGCCCGAGGCATGCACAGGCCCACTCTCGTGGATGCACCTGACGCTCTCCCCAGCATGGTTCTGCCTGGGCGTGTTTTCCTGTGTCCTTTTGGCCTGTATGGTTTTGCACTGTTTGCCTGACATCTTTTACACCAAGCAGGGAGAACTGTTTAGGGAAAGATCCTGACGTTTTTCTCTTTAAGATTATGACAAAACGTGGTAAAATAGGAAGGGTGAGGCTTGTCTGGGCAGGAGGGTCGTCGTTCATTGTCTCGCAGCTCTAGGGGCCCGGGGAGAGCGCCCGACCCCGTGCAGCCGCCAATAGAAAGGCTCCATTCTGCCACTCGGCTTTGTGAGGTGCCAAAGCTTGTCCTGGTTGCCATGGCTACTGCCTGATTGTGGCGGGCTTGTCACAGTGCTTGATAAAGTGGTAAGGTTATTCTTGATAGGCCACAGTAATCATAACCTTGCTGAAGAGAGCATGTCACACCGCCCCCCCTCCCTTTAAACCAAGAATGCAAGGTTGGGGGTGGGGTTCTCAGGATAAAACAGCCACAGAGCTCCTCCTTCTGCAAGTGACCAGGGCAGTGCCAGCAGGAGGGACTCAGGAAGGGCGGGGCCCTGTGCCCAGTCCTGGGGGTGCCCTCTGCTCTGCTCTGCGGGGTTGGAGGGAACAGGTGCCTCTCATGGCCTTCAGATCTGATGGTGGCCTCTCCCCCCCAGGGCGTCGAGGTGCAGACAGACTACGTGCCCCTGCTGAACTCGCTGGCGGCCTACGGCTGGCAGCTCACCTGTGTGCTACCGACCCCCGTCATCAAGACAACCAGGTAACACAGGGCTTGTCCCTGACATCAGAGCACAGCTGCTGTGTGCTAGGCGCTGCTCCCAGCAAGCACTTCGGGCCACCGTCGCCTGTGGTCCCTCACCTCACGGCTCCAGCTGGGAGCTAACAGAACCAGGACATCACCTCCCTCATCGCCTCCTGGAGCACCCCTGCACCTGTCTGCCCCCGTGGCAGCCCAGCAGGTGACATGCCCAGGGGCCCGCAAGGGCAGGAGAGATCCAGCACCCAGCCTGTGCTGGACGGGGCGAGCACTTTGCTATGAAGTCTTACTTAGTCCTCTGAAGGAAACACACAGTCCTATGAGCTGGAGTTTTAGAAAATTAAGCCGAGGCACGTGAGGTTCAGGGACTTGGCCGAGGTCACAGCACTGGTCCCCGGGAGGCGGCCTGGGTCTTACCGTGGTCTTCCTCGCAGGTTTAGACCTTTGGCTGTCTCACCCTCCACTCTGCCTGGGAATCTGGTCATGGCTGAGCCTCGGCAGCTGGCCGCCTATGTTGTGGGTTTGCTCACTTATGCAGTCCTTCTAATCCCCTTGTAGAGATTTGAGCAGCAATATGATGAATAAACTGAGGTTCAGTCACGTCCAGCCAGTAAGTGTCACAGCCTGGGCCTGAGGACATTAATGTACAGTCAGGCCTTTCTCGTGGACCTGGCCACTGACGTGATCAGGTGCCTGCTCCCATGGTTGTCCAAGCCCCGCTGCCCATCCTCAACTGCAGGGCGATGGACAGGATGAGGCTAGGTGTGTGCGAGTGGAGAGTGACGGGGCAATGTGTGCTGTTTCCTCTGACATGATTGCCTTCAGCTTCTGGGCCCCAGTGGGGCTGTGCACCTGCAGGAGCCAGCCTAGCCTCCTTAGGCCCCACAGCCCCGGGGACCTGCTGTCCCACTTCTCAGCTTGCATGTCTGCAGGCACAGCGCATTGTGGCTGAGTGAGTGGAACCCTTGATCTGAGGCCTGAACACTTGGACCCAAGCCCCAAGTGTGCCACTCGCTGTCACCTTGACTGAGGGAGAAAAGTGCCCGGAGCCGGTGTCCAGCGCCCGGGACATGCCGTGGATGGGGGCAGGGAGCAGCCCCAGCTGGTCCACAGCTGTCTGCCCTGGCTCCGGCAGTCACTGTGACTGGGGAATCCTTTTGTGTGCCCGCTGTGGTGCTCCCTGAGCTGTCCTGGTGGGGCATAGAGAACGTGGAACCAGGAAGGTGGTGTGTGCATGCTCATTGTACCCGCTCCTGCCCCAGGCTCGTTTTCCTAGGAGCACTGTAGTGAGCCTTGGCGAGTCACTGCGTGCAGTCGCCCAGTCTGGCAGCTGGCACAGAATCGGTACAGATCAGATGTTAGTGCATGAGATGTATGGCCAAATACAGCACTGTCGCTGTGGCCAGAAGACAGGGCCCAGATTTTAGAAAGTCCGTTGGAGGGTGGAGTTGGGCCAAATTGCTAGTCTCCTCTGCAGTGTCACCATCGCTCTAAAGATAGCCCATGTGCTCCCGTCCTTCTGGAAGGAGCCAGCACTTCCCGTAAGGTGAGGTCACAGCTAGGGTCATGCGTACCACTGTCCCACAGCTTGCCTGGAGCACCACCATGGCCAACAGCCCACGTGAGCCACTCCTGTAGCTGGGACCTGAGTCTGCCTTGCCTCCGCCCCATCTGTCATGGCATGGCTGGAGGACTAAGCTGATGGCACGGGTCCTCATGTGCCGACCTGCCTAATGGCAGCATCCCCAAGCACGGATCAGGATGAGGCCCTGCCCCTTTGAGACCTGCCGCAGCAGCCATGTGTCCTCCTAGGCTGATATGCAGCTGTCACTTCCTGTCAAGGATGGGCAGTTCCCCGCTGGGAGCTGACTGGGCAGAGACACACATAGGGCTTTAATAGGGCATCAGAGGTGGCAAAGCTGAAAGCCTGGGTAGGGGTATTGAGCCAGGCGCCACCCGAATTTAACCTCCATGCCTGGGAGGGAGGAGGGGGCTGCATCTGTGCTGAGGCACTGCGGCGTCCGCGTCAGGTCTGGGGTCCTTCTGTCTGTTGTTTGGTCCATTCTTGATGCCATGTGTTGCAGGGAGGGCAGTGTGTCTACCAAGCAGATCGTCTTCCTCCAGAGACCCTGTCTACCTCAGAAACTCAAGAAGAAGGAATCAAAGGTAAGAGGCCCGGGCTTCCCTGGGCGGGGCCTCCTCCTGCCTGCCCCTGTCCTGCAGTGCTGGATGGCAGCCTGCTCTGGCTTCCCTGGGCCCACAGAACTTCAGGGACTCCCGAGTCCCACGTGCGGCTTGTGAACAGGGTGCTGGGGCTATGGAGAGGCTGGCTGGAGGGTCAGGGACGGGCTCTGTTGTCCCCCCCAGGTGCCCTTTACCCCAGACTGCAAGCAGTAGATGCACCAAGTTGTCTTTGCTGGACCAGCAGGTGCACAAAATCAGCTGCATCAGACCAGTCTGGGGCTGGCTCGGTCCCCTGGCCGGCCTCTCAGCGGCTTGGTCTTACTAGACGCCGGCCAGAGCGCTGACCTGCCTTTGGGTCATCAGCAGTTTGTTGATCTCAGCAGAGATCTTGACAGGCCCCAGCCAGGGGGCCCCAAGTGACAGCTGGTGGTGTAGACGAAGGCCCGCCCTGGCTTTGTGGCCGTGAGTCTCCCCAAGGTGCACCTCGGGCGAGCTGGCCACCAGGCACAGCTGCAGAGGACACTGGCTCTTCTGAGGGTTCTTTGTTTTCTAAAGTCGAGGCAGGCCGCCCCATGTACCAGGTGACCTGGAGGCTGTGTGGCCACAGGCTTTGCAGCCTGTGGGTGCTTTCCCTGAGTGGTTTCCATGATGAGTCACGTGATCATGAAGCCCACGTCAGGGTCACCTGTGTCGAGCTGCTCTGTGTTTGATGATGGCCGAGGCCACACTCTCGGGCAGCGCTCCCTGCACTGCCCAGCTCCTCAGGCCTGGGGCCCATCTTCCACATTGCCCACTCTTGGATGCTGTGTCCGTGGGCTGCGGGGTGGGGACGTGGAGCCTGGCAGGCTGCAGACTGGGGGAGGGTTTGTGCAGGCTGCGAGGGGTGATGTGACAGGCAACAGCTACCTTGCCAGCTACATCTGCCACACGTTGTCGCTAAGCCATCATGGAGTGACACTGAGCAGTCGACACGCATAAGGTTCCCTGGCAAACACTGCGAAGAGGAAGACGTGGTGTCACCACTCCCGGGTATGCAGAGTAGGTGCTGTCCCCAGAGTGGGAAGGAGGTCTGACCTCTTAGGGGGACACGTCGGGGGACACTGGACTGGGGCAGGCAGGGCATCTTAAGGGTGGTCATGCAGAGCTGCTGTCAGCAAGCAGGACTGGCTTTCCTGATAGTCAGTGATAGCTCCCAAGCCCCGGGGCCTCTGGCTCTTCCTGTCTTGCCTCATTTCAATAAGTTCAAGGTGGTCCTATGCAGCACTTGGTCTGTGTTGGGTGCTCCAAGAGAGAGAGACAGAGAGACAGAGAGGGAGAGGAAGTGCAGCAGTCACACTTCCTGGAAGAGTTCTCTGCCGGCCTTCAGCCTAGCAGGGTGCAGTTGGCGTCCATGACTAGGACGAGCCTATCCGGGTTACCTGGGAGCAGCACAGGAGTCCCAGCTCACCTCAGTGTAGCTAACTGCCCACTTCCGCCATGACGCTGCAGCCTGGATTGAAGTTAGAGCTCAACGGGTAGTTGTTGAAGAATCTGGCTTCTGAGCCTGGGACATAGGAACTCAGTCAAGTGTTGACACTGAAGGGAAGAAACTACCTACTTGCTCATCTGCAGACCAGCACTAATGGTGCCCCTGGAGGGATTCAGCAAGGTGTGACATTCGCCCACAGCCCCATCTGCAGACACAGAAAAAGCAGTGCAGCCTTTGGAGGTGTTGGGCGTGGCTGACTTCCCTGTGGTGACTCGGGAGAGGGGGCCGAGCTGCTTCCCACCCAGCTTCCCTGGTCCTTGCTGCAGCAAGTAGCCGGTGTGCCTGCCACAGGCTCCTTTCCCCACTGTGGTCTCCTGTTGTCTTCCCTCAGACCAGCAAAGTGGGATCTGCTCCAGGGAGGGGATGCAGCCAGGCATCCCGAGGGCCCCCGTGGGGTCTGTGGCTTCAGTCAGCTAGAGCAGCCCCGGGAAGCCTGATCCGGGCTCTGTTCACATCCCCAGGGCTTCGCAGATGGAAAGTCTGGTGCTTGTGGGAGCGTCCTCCATGTCTTCCTCACAGCCTACAGGGGGCGCTGTTTTGCATCAGTTCTGTGTGGGTGGGGCCCCTGCAGGTGTGCGCCCACCCAGTCTTGGGGTCAGAGACAACCACTTTGGAGATGAGGAACTTGGGAGCTGTCTGGTAGTCTGTGAACGTGCCCCAGGGGGACTGACTGAGTGCATGGGCTGGAACTTGGACCTGAGGATTAGGCATCCCCTTGACAGTTCAATGTTGAGGCCTCTTAGCCAAAACCAGCCTGCTACTCGTCCAACAAAACTAAAACGACCTGACCTCCTCTTGGACAACTATCACACACACACCTAGAAGAACACATGTACTGTAGCGCTGGCTGAGGTGGGCACCATGGCTGGGGGCAGGGATGAGGCACCGCTGGCCTGTGGAGTGTGTGGGTGGCAGGAACTCTGGCCATGCCCAGAGGGAAGTTTGCTGGCCACAGGCCGAGTGTACCCCCAAACAGCAGCTTTGGAAGAGTCTGGCTGGTGGGGATGGTGTCAGAGATGAGCGCGCTGCCATGGGGAGGGTTGTGGGTGTGACGCCATTAGCCTTCCGGGGAAGATGGAAATCCCAGGGGCCACTCTGCTCACCTGCTCCTCTCTGCCTAACAGTTTCAGTGGCGATTCTCACGAGAGGAGCGGCACCTGCGGCGGTCCAAAGGGAGACTCAGAGCCAGGGACAAGCGGCAAGCAGAAGAAACGGATAAGGCTTCGGAGGATTGCGTTTTCAAAGCCGGAGATGTGGGCAACTGCGTCTTGGGCCCGCAGCAGGAGAGGAGCGCCTCGGAGCGGATGAGGAGCCCCGGCCAGCAGGCGGAGGGAGACAGGCCAGGGTCAGGGGAAGCCCTGCAGAACGGCCCTGCTGGCCACTGCAGGGCTCCGGTGGGGGGGAGCGCCGGGCACCCCGACGGGGGCGCCGAGGAGGTTCCCGCAGAGCCCATCGTGGCAGAGGCAAACTGAGGCCGGGGTTCTTGTGCGGAGGCCGGCTGGGCTGGCGCAGGCTCAGCAGTCTTCTCTGGCGTGTTGATAAACTTCAGCTTGACCTCTGCTGGATGCTGTCCTTGGGCTCCCCAAGGCCACACCCCTGACAGTGTTAAGTCTCTGTGCTTCTGTTCCAAAGGTGTCTTAATGGCCACGTGTGACAGTGCACGGGGTCAGCTTGATTTTTTTCTTTTTCCTAGACCTTGGGGGTCAGAGGCCCAGTTCTGCTGGAGGGTCTGGGCCACCTGGTGCCTGTGTGTGTTGGCCCCCCCTCTTCCCAACACCCGACTCCAGGGCATATTTGGGCCAAATCCATGTACCTCCCTGGCTGGAAACCCAAGACTCTTTCCCAAGGCTGCGGGGGGGGGGGGGGCAGTGCCCGTGCCCGGCTGCTTTCCACAGCTGCTTGGTGACTTGTAACCATCCCTGGAGCCCCACGGGCTGCCTCCTTCTCTGCCTCTGAACCCCTCAGACCCTGCTGCTTTGGTGAAGAAAATGACGCTGGGGAGAGGAGTTGCCCAGCCCCCAGCTTCTCTCCAGATAGTCCTGTAGATCCTGGTCACGTGCTGATGAAGAGGTAATTTTGTGTGTGCACCTGCTGCTGCAGGGAGTGCAACAGAGTGTTCCGTGTATTAATGCCAAAAACATTTTTTAAAGGTTTTGTATTTGTATTCAGCCCAGCCTAGGAACACACATTTTTTTCGGGGCATCCGGCCTGGGTGCCCGCGTGTGCTGTTCCCGTTGGTGTTCTCATTGGCCAACTTGTTACCCATGTATGCTGTAGGCATCCCTTGTTTCTGCGGTCCAGAGAGTACTGTGAAGGCTTTAAGTAGATGCACCTGGAGAGGGAATGCCAGCTTGTGCTGACCGAAACAGCATCCTGTTTCTTTTCTTTCTTTAGTTACTTAAAGCAATAAACCGTCCGTGAGTTCCAGCCTGCTGTGCAGTATTTACTGGGTCACGATATGGAGTCCAGGCCTCGTGGCCAAAGATTCCACCCCTCCCCCTGCTTCGGGAAGGTTTCTATTTCCCAGCAGCCTCAGCACGTTGGGAAACTGTGGGAGTGGCTTGAGTGAGCTGTGAGGCTGTAACGTGGCATCCGGCGGCCACCAGGTAGGTCAGGGGCACTGACCGCCACCTCCCACGCGTGAGGGGGTAGGGACAGGCAGACCCCGATTTCTAAGCTTGTTTCCTTGGAAGTAAATCACCTGAAGAGGCAAGCCTTTTTTGTTTGCATGCTTATTAAAATAAGACATAGGTGGTATATGTTTATCACACTGCGGAGTTGAAAACCCTGTCCAGCCGCATCCCTGGCCCTCTCCTCTTGACCAGCCCCCTCCCCCACTGCCCTGCCCTCAGAGCTCAGAAAGTCTTAAGGCCCTTTCCAGGAAGCTATCACAAAATGGCATTTTCCATAATTAAGCCCAGGTCTTAAGATCTAAAGTATGTTTTAATAGAAAAAAATCTCTTTACCCCATATCTTAGTACCCTATTAAAAATAGGCTAGGGCTGGTGGGTTTAACTGCCAGCTGAGATGCACGCATCCGGGGAGTCCTGCTTCTGGTCCGGCTCCCTGCCACTGTGCGCCCTGACAAGCGGCAGCTGATGGCTCATGCCTGCTCTGTAGTGCACTGGGATGGAGCTCTTACTCCTGGCTTCATCTTGGCCTAGCCCCGAATGTGGCAGGCAAGGGGGATAACCAATAGAGAGATTTGTTCATCAGCAACAGGCAGAACTCCAGCCTGGAGGAGCTTGCAGCACTCAGCTTTGAGCACGTTCTTCTGTAACCCGGTGATGTGCATCAGCTGTCCTTGGGCTGAGGGTCCTGCCCTTCCAGCCTGTGAATAAACGGGGAGTGGTCTGGGCGTCAGGATTTCTTATTTGTTAGATCGATTTATTTCATTGGAAAGGCAGATTTACAGAGAGAAGGAGAGAGAAAGACCTTCCATTTGCTGGTTCACTCTGGGGCAGAGCTGATCTGAAGCCAGGAACCAGCGCCCAGAACATGGGCATAGGGTCCCATGGCCAGTTATCCAAGCAAGTAGCTGGACATGGAGCAACTGGAACGCAATCCAGTGGCCACATGGATGCCGGCACTCGCCGGCAAAGGACTAGCCAGTTGAGCCATCGCGCCAGTCCCATCAGGACTTACTCTCTTTGAGAGGTGTAGATAGGTGAGGGAGGGCGGAGCCCCCACGTGCTGGCTCCCTCCCTGAACGCTTGCTGAGGCCGGGAGCCAGGAGTTCAACCTAAGTTTCTCACGTGGGTAGCAGGAACCCAATTCTTGGAGCCAGGTTGGCTTCTAGCTGTTGCCAGGAGCCAGGGCCCAGGCCAGGTGCAGAGCCCGGGCTCCTCGGTGTGCAATGTAGACATGTTAACCACAGTCCTGATCACTGGGCCAAGCTCCCTCTCTGTCATAAACTACGGGGTTTTTAAAAACTCCCGGGGTGGGGGGGGATTCCGAGACACAGCCAGGCCGGAGAACTGCTGGCCGCAGGATCTCTCTGAATGGAATCACAGCTTGCTCCCTGCGAGATGAGATGCTTTCTACAAATTCACCAAGGCCCCCAGTCTGATCCCAGCATCTTGCATATACATTTAAAAAATTATTTTTTTGAATAGCTGAGTGACAGAGAGAGGCAGCTGGAGCCAGGTCAGGTCAAAGCCAAGAGGTAGGACTGATCCCAGGTGAAGCACGTGGGTGCCAGGGACGCAGCCCAGGGACCAGCACCTGGCTAGGTGCTTTAGTGACAAGCTGGCTGTGGAACTTGAACCCAGGCTCTTGGCTATAGGGTGTGGGTGTCCCAGGCGGTGTCTTGACCCACTGCACCACAACACCTTTGCTTTGCAATACATTTCAAGTATGCAGTGCCCTTAAAGGGAATCTTGTTTCGCTGTGACCTGCCCGTCGTGGACACGGCCCCAGTAGGCACTCAAAGCTGCACAGCCTTGGCACTGTTTGGCAGGAGTTAACTGCTGCCTGTGGGAGACCGTCTTTGGGGCTGCAGCTGTCACGGAGTGGCACTGCCAGGAAACAGGAGCTCCAGGGCTGACTGCTGACTGCAGAAGGATGTGCCTGTGAGGCGGTGGCTGCATTCCCGCCCCCCCAGGAAAGTGTCTTCACCTCCAAGCTTCTGGAGAGGGCAGTGGGCGGGGCCTAGCATCACTCACTCAGCAGGTGCGGGAGGGAGAAGCTGTCTCAGCAAATGCAAATGCAGGTGTGTGCTTCCGAAGGTACACCGCCATGCCACAAGGTCACAGATCTGCCATATGGGGAGCCGGAGGAGGCCTGAGGTAATGCAGCAGTGGGGCTGACTGATACTGGGATTGGGGGCAGTGGAAGAGCTGCACAGGTCTTTGGAATTGGATCTGAACTGCACTCAGTCTACACAGATGGACTTCAGTTGGCTTTTTCACATTTCCTGGCACCAATCTCAAGTGTGGAAAAGGGCCACCGCTTGGGGATGCCTGCTTCTCATATCAAACTACCTGGGATCGAGTCCCGCCTCCCCCTCCAGTCCAGCTTCCTGCGAAGGTGCACCCTGGGAAGCAGCAGACAATGGCCCGAGTGAGTGGGCTCCTGCCACCGGTGGGAAGCCGGCCTGGAGCTCCTGGTTCTTGGCTTCGACTTGTTGTGGGTATGGGAGGTGGGAATGAGCAGATGGATTCTCCATCTTCTTTTCTCTTTGTCATACTGCCGTTCAAATAAATTGTTAAAATTAAATATATATATCTGTGGGCATTATGAAGATTTGGGTACTGTGGTTGGCCTGGGGTGGCAGTCAGCCACATGTTGCTGAGTAGCCAGCAGGGCAGCTGGTAGCTCTCACTGAACACCTGATGCTCCTGCTGGGCCTGGATCACCTGCAGCTTGGGACAGAGCGGCTTCCAGACATGACCTTCCACCTCACTGTTAACAAACCATCAACAGACACAGCAGTCATGGGGCCACAGAATGCCTAAGTGAGCGACTATCTAAAACACTCCCTTTTTATGAAGCAAGAGAGCTGTCAGCTCAGCCCCTGCCTCACTGGAGTCCACGAGGCCCCAACAGGGCTGTGCTGTCAGCACTTTAACCCCGGAGTCCTCCACCTCACTGCTTGCTTCATTCCAAGACAACTCTTCTGGCAGCCCTGGGGATGCCAACGACAGTCACTGCAACAATTGTCAGATATGTGAAGGCCCTGCCTAGTCATCCTCATCAGAAGGGCCAGTCCAGCCCCCGGGATGTCTGAGGCCATTTATCCAGAAAGGGACCTGACACTGCACAGCCCCACCCACATGACAGTTCACAGGTGGGCAGCAAGGCGTAGAAGGGGGACGTTTTAGGTCGCTCAGACCTGGTGCTTCGATCTTTTGACCACACTACAATGCACAGCAAACCCATCTGCCTTGTTTTCTTTTTTCTTTTTTTGCTTTTTTTTCTCTAGCCATCTACAGTCTGAGATGGCTTTTGTCCAACATGTGATGCCACACCAAACAGCTAGATTAATGAACAGTGTGACACCAAAGCAAGAACAAATCTGTGGACCTGGTGGGAGACACGGAGTATGTGACAAAGGAACACTTCAAACTACGAGGATAGAAACACGAGACTTGAAAAATGGCGATGCACAACTGGAGGGCCATATTGGACAAATCTGATCTCTATACTCCCATCGAGTACAAAATGAATCCCCAATAGATTAAAGGTCTGTAAAAGCATCAGAAGAAAATTCTATTCTAGCAAGCCAAGGGGAAGGACGAGTGTACTTGACCACATACGAATCTGAAATAAAGCTAGGAGTTAACCAGGGACTACCAAAAGTCTGGGAGAAACAGTTGTAAAACATCTACCAAAGCGTTATTAGCATTTAGTCCATTTTTATCAATTCAGATATGCAAAACATCAACATGGATACATAAAAGCAACATACCATTCTCAAAAGAAAAAAAAACAGAAATGGCTAAAAAGCTTCAGAAAATGAGTGTTATCAAAATATATTTAAAATAAGTCATCTTGGGGCCAGTGTGATAGCTCAACTGGATAATCTTCCACCCTCAAGTGCCAGCATGCCATATGGATGCCACAGCAGGTTAAACCCCTGCTTGGGATGCTCACTCCCCAGCTGGAGTGCCTGGTTTTAGTCCTGGCTACCCTGAGCTTCCAATCCAGCCTGATGCCAGTGTACCTGGGAGACAGTGGGTACCAGCCCAAGCACTCAGCTTCCTGCCACCCACACTGAAGTTTCTGGATGGAGTTACTGGCTCCTGGCTTCATCTTGGTGCAGCCTTGGCTGTTGGCAGCCATTTAGGAAGTAAACTAATGGGTGGAAAAGCCTGTGTCTTTGTCCCTCTGCTCTTTATATAAATCTGTGAATGTAGAAAGAAAGAGAGATGGGGGAGGGAGAGAAGGAAAGAGAGAAAAAGAAAGGTAGCCACTTACTCAACAACTGGACAAGTCTGGATGCCTGGCCATAAAATGTATTAAAATGCATGCCTTGATCTGACAGTGGGTTGGTGGTTATCTTTATATGTCATCACCATACCGATGGCTGATTGTGCATATTAGGAAAGAGTAATATTAAAGACAAGATAGCTATTTTTTTCTAGGATGAGAACAGTATACTTCTTTGGGTCTTATTTAAAATAAAATGAAGCAATGGTGCTCATGCTAATTTATCAGCATATGATCATCCGCAATACCAAGAGATGAAGGAAATTGCTGTTTTCCATTCAGAAAAAAAAAAAAAGAGAGAGAGGGAGAAACAATCTCAGCGGGAGACACATGACCTTGGGTTGTTTGACAGTCAGGGCACGCATGTGTGTGTTCGGGCTGCCTAGCACGCAGGTGCATCCAGTGGCAACATCCCAGGGCCTGTTTCCACAGCATGGGTATAACCTCCAGGGCCTGACGCCCCTTCCTGTGGGACAGTGAGTTGGCCCCATTACTTAGCTTCCCACTGACCCCCCAATCACCCATACTCCCACGGACAACCTCATTACATGAGTGACCAGTCTCCCATCCTCCCACTTACAGGAACCCACAGGCCACTGACTCCCCAGTCACCAGTCCTCTCTCCTATAGGACCCCACCAGGCTGCTGGCTCCCCACTCACTCATCCTCCCACTTACAGGCCCCACGTGTCAGTGACCTCCCAGTCATCCATCCTCTCACCCACAACCTCATCACATGAGTGACCAGTCACCCATCCTCCCACCCGTGGGGCCACGTCACCCCCGTGTCTTGCCCAGCGACCCATCCTCCCACCTGCTGGACACTCTCATGCCAGCGATTTGCCCAGTCATCTGTCCTCCCCCGCACATGAAGCCAGCATGTCAGGCATCGTCACCTGTCCACCCGCCTGGCAGACGCCATCACCCTGGTGACTTGCTCCGCCGTCTGTCGTTCCTCTTACAGGACTCCGTGAGGCCAGGGGCTCCCTTGTTCACTCATCCAGCTTTGGCAGCTTCACTTTCAACCAGTGATTGGTTGCAAAAGCAAATTCTTCCCCAGAGCTTTTCCACTTTCAGTCTTGGTGAAAAGGTCACAGTGAAAGAGATACTTCTTTCTTGAAGACAACTTCCATCAGTCTTTAGCTTTTATTAAACAGTTTCCCAAAGTCTTTAACCAGCTCCTCAAGAAGGTCTGTGGGTCTGGCGCAGTAGCCTCATGGCTAAAGTCCTCACCTTGCACGTGCCGGGATCCCATATGGCCACTGGTTGTGCTCACATTGGGGAAGCTGGTAAGAGGTATATGGAAAGCCTGCACTATTCTTTACAACTTTTCTCTAAATCTAAAATTACTTGAAAATGTAAAAGTTAAAAAAACAAAACCAAACATCAACGAGTGAAGTGGTGCTGTGCTGAGCGCAGCTGCCCGTCGCGGCAGCCGCCCATCACCGACCTTGCCTTGGGAGCAGATGCTGTGAGACCATCCTGTGTGTCACTCAGCATCCGTTCTCTGATTGTCCCTGCAATTACTCCTGTGGTTTTGCTGTTGCTTCCTACTGCTTTTCCTTCCCCGTTTTAAAATTCTGACTATGTTATGATACAGTTCCCCAGGCTCTGGGATTCCCTTTACCATCCCCGCTGAGCTCCCCTATATTATTACTATAGTGTAGTTCTTCACACACGCTCACAGGTCCATCACTTGGACAATGGCAGAGAGGCCAGCATCCTACTGTCAGGACAGAGTTAACAGTTTCATTGGGAGTCCATCTTTGTCTGGAAGGAGAGATGCATACTGCGTTGTATCCTCACATCTGGATATGACAGTCTCCACTGCACAGTTACTATGCATCTCCTCAAACGAAAAGCCTCAAAATCAACTATATCTCACAGATTTTGATATTTTTATTTTTACTTTTTCTCATATTAAATTCTTCACTGACTCACAGGTCTTTCACTAGCATCATTTTCTTCAAGAAGGTTCTTGATTTTCATTTCTTCAGCGACACACTGGCCATCAGTAGCTGTTGTTTAACTTCATGGCATTGTAAACATCTAATTTTCTTCCTGTTTTCTTTTTTCTCTAAAGATTTATTTTTATATTTATTGGAAAGTAAGATATACAGAGAGGAGGAGAGACAGAGAAGATCTTCTGTCTGATGATTCACTCCCCAAGTGGCTGCAACAGCCGGAGCTGAGCTGATCTGAAACCAGGAGCTCCAAGTCTCCCACGGGGGTACAGAGTCCCAAGGCTTTGGGCCATCCTTGACTACTTTCCAAGGCCACAAGCAGGGAGTTGGATAGGAAGTGTGGCTGCCGGGATTAGAACTGGCGCCCATATGGGATCCAGGGAGTGCATGGTGAGGATGTTAGCCACTAGGCTACCGTGCTGGGCCCAAATATTTATTTAAAAGATTTACAAAGAGAAGAGGCCAAACACAAAGATCTTTGATCTGTCATTTCAGTCTCAAGATGGTCACAAGAGCCAAGGTTGGTTCAGGTCAGCTTCCTCCAGGTCTCCCACACAAGTGCAGGGGTTCGAACACTTGAGCCATCTTCTGCTGCCTTCCCAGGCACATTAGCAGGGAGCTGGATGGGAAGTGGAGCAGCCGGGATACAATCAGGGCCCATATGGGATGTTGGCGTCACAGAGGTGGCTTTGCCCGCTGCACTGCAGCACCGGCTCTTCACTCCTACTCAGGGAAGTCCCCAGGGACGTTCCAGTGGCCACGGCCGCTCCTGAGAACACCTGCTTCTCGTCCTGCTGCCCCACTGTCAGCCAGCCCACCTCCCTGAACGCTTCCTAGTGTGCTCTGCTGAGCCCACCCCCGCTCATATCCTTTCCTCCTGTTCGTTGGAGCACTTTTTGCATTTCTTAAAGGCCTCAAACCTCATCAACTTCCCCACACCTTGATTTAGTGCGGGTCAGGGACACAGCACGGAGAGCTGAGCATCGGAACACTGGCTGCCACGGGTAAAAGCAAGCAAACGTATACAAAGCCATGAGTCCACAGTAATACTGAAAAAAACCCCATCCCACAAACTTCACAGGTCATCTCTGAGGTTGCTAAGCAACCAAATCATAACATACTAATTGATAAATAAGAGGCGAGACGTCAGGCCTTGATCCTGCCTCTTATTTAGACTCATTGCAGGATAATCAAAGCTGAAGAAGAATCACACATAATAAATGCAGGAAGAATGCTAGAGATGGATAATTAATCCTTAATGAAGTAACAGATAAAGGTAATAATGGCTGCTAGGATAATCAGGTGAAGGACGGGGTGGAGTTTACATTGGACAGGCCAGGCTGACAAGAGCTGCACCTGCCGGCCCCCGTGGCAGCATGAGGAATGGGGCTGACACGGAGCGCTCGGGGGAGGCCACGGGAGTACGCACATCACTTGGGCGTGCACTCTAGTGAAAAAAAGAAGTCCTGCGCCTGAACCCCAAGACAAGCTACATCTAATTACCAACGTACATGAAGCACGGAAGGGAGAAGCTTGTGTTACATGACACCTTGAGGACTCAGTAAGACAGGTTCAAAATGTGGAAGGTCTTTTGGATGAATAACACGTTTATTCAACAGATAAACCTGGAGAAAGAAATGTGTGTGTGTGTGTGTGTGTGTGTGTGTGTGTGTGTGTGTGTGTGTGTGTGTGTGTGTGTGTGTGTGTGTGTGTGTGTGTGTATGGTGGGAAGTGCCGCTAACAGGACTTGTCAACCCAACACCATGTGTGCACTGGAGGTCACGGGAGATGCAGCATAAAGGGGTCTCAGATGAGACTTGAAGGAGTCACAGCTGTTTGTGTTGAGTGTGACAACAGCACTGTGGTCATGTGGACGTGACGTGTCAGTTTAGAGACACATGTTATGATATCTTGGAGTGCCACAGTACAATTTTTTTGGCTTGGTTGTCATACAACACAAGAAGTTGAGGGCACACAGTAGTCTTGGCAGCCCTCGCGGATGGGTGGGGATGCCCGCGTGTCCCTTTCACTATGGGCAGGTGTCTAAACATCTCATGATGTATTTTTTTTCTTTGTGAGTACTACTCTCTAAAACCTGGGTCCCGGGGAACACCCTTCTCGGGGGGCTCCACGTCCACCTGTAGATGTCCTATTGGAGATGAAGTGCTCCCCGCCTTCAAGAAGGCACCTTTCATGGGAAAGTCTGTGGGGAAGGCCAGGTGCTTGCTCCATTTTCTGGTGAGCTCTACCACTCAAAACTTGACAAAGACTCATCTATCACTGCACGCTAGTCCCTGGAGGAGTACACCCACGGCAGGGTCTCAGCTAACGAGAGGTCCACATACTCACAGGGAAAGAGGTCCCTGCTGAGCGGGACCCCACCCCCGGGGACTGCTGGGAGCGGCCCTTGCCCCTTTCCTCCCCGCGTTCCCCAGGTACAGGAAATAAAAGGGAGACTGGAAGCAGTTATCTCATCTACTTTCCCCAATTCCTTGACAACCCCCCAGTTAGTGGTCCACATGGGCATGCATCCTTCCCCTATGTAAACATCATCAAAAATAAAATAACTCTATTACTTAGAAAAACAAAAAACGAGTGGACTGAAGCTAAGCCACCCAGCCTGCTGCAACTCTGACTAGCAGGCCGCCACCCGGCCAGCGGCTCGCCTCCAACCCTGGCAAAGAATGAAATAACAAGCAGAGCAACCAGTTCTACAGTGGAACCAGTTCTACGGTGCCTGATCAAACCTCAGCACCTTGCCCCAGCCGGCCAGCCGGCGCTGAAGGCAGACGCAGTGCGCACAGCACAGCCGCCCGCACCCTTGCCCCACACAGCAGCTGCTCCTTCGGGTAAGGCACACGGCTCACTCAGAACGGGCCTCGCTGCAGAGGCGCCTAGCCCCTGTCAGCATCCGGACATAGGAGATTTGTCAACAGGAAAGCAAGCATTCTGGAGATCAACCTCTAAAAGCAATTTCTGTAACCATTTCCCATTTTGAAGCTTAATTTCAGTGTCCAAATAAATAAGGCTGTGGGACATGGGAAATGAAGGTACTGCATACCTTCCAAATTTACTTCCAACTTACTTTATAAGGTAAAATCGGTAAATCATGTTCTTAAATTACAAGTTTATTGAACATTTATGTGAATTACTGCCATGTAATTCAAAGATACCCTATACCTCATTCACAAAACTCCATTTTTCTCATGATTAAACCCACGTATATACCTTGCAAAAGAAAGTTCTATGCCGACCAGCTCATGATAATATCATGAGAAAATTAATAACAAGAAAACCTGTGCAGTGGCACAGCTGGATCAACGGTCTGTGGCAGGCTTCCCTGCCTCCCCAGGTCTTCTGGGAAGGGCAGACCCAGTCAGTCGCCGAGCACAGCACGGCTCTGCCTGGCCCCACCGGGTCCACGTCTCCCTCCCATCCTGGCCGCTGGCCGTTCCCTACCACCACTTCTCAAAGCAGATGTGTTCTCTAGGAACGTGGCTGTTTTCCAGGAGCTTGGAGAAAGAGTCCGTCATCGGAGGTGGACCACAAATAAAGAATAAAGTCTCCTTGGAAATATGGTCACTTAGCTCTTTTTCCGTTATTCTTCCTTCTACCAAGAAAACAGAACACTGAATTAAGCCAGATGTGCTTGGATGCTGAAATGAGGGACTAACGACAACTCGGCCACAGGAGCTAGCTGCAGGAACTCGAGCTCATTCTGGATCCTTCCGTTCGACGGCTCCTGGGGGCATCTGTGGCCAGACACAGCAGAGTACAAAATCCAGACTTCCTCAACCTGGCCTGGAAGGGGCAGCCGATCTCGGGGCACTATTCAGGGCGGGCCGGCGAGAGGGCTGGCGAACCTCTGGACCCGCGGTGGAGATGCAAAGGGCCTTCTGCAGATAGTGCCACTGTAAGAATCCTCTCAGGCAGGGGAATCATGGGTAATTCCAATGCTCATTAATGGCATCAATGCAGCCACAGCTGGAATATAAATTCTGTATGCAGCCTCCAAGTGATGCTGCGATGGCCACCGAACAATGTACAAAACTCATTTTTCACACGGGCAGTAGGAAATCGGCATACAGTAAGTAAACCCAACTGAAGACCTCATTATTATTATTCCATGATGAACATTTCCCAAATCCCCAGGCAGGCACCTTTCCAGCCGGCAACTGCCAACCATTAAAGCACCTACAATGCATACAGCCGACAGGTGCGCTAAACGACCGCCCAGAGACTGCGAGGTGTCTTTAGGGGACTCACCCGTGGTGTAGGGCTTGAGTTCGGCACTGATTTGTGTAGTCTGCTTTGTAACGTGTAGACTGCATGTAATCTTCCCAGGAAACTCATGGACTACATCGAGGATATTTTTCTGAAATGCCAAACAGCTTTGGTCACACTGCAATCTTGAGAAATCAAAACAGATGTGCACAACTGTGGGCGCTGAGCCTGGACCCTCATTCAGCACAGGTCGGCAGCTCGCACTCTACTCCAACACTGTCTGCAGCAGAGCAGGCCGGAGCACACAGGACAGGGGCTATTCGGCTTTAACTGAAATCTCAATATGCTAATAAGCATATTACTGACTCTCCAGGTGACTTTTTTCCTTCTTCTTAAGCATTGGCAATTAAGTGGCAGTTTCAGGAACCACAGTTGCGCTTTTAACTGTTCTGTTCTTTTGTTCACTCCTGCAGCTGCTGAGCAATGCCAAGAGACAGCCTCCTTCCAGTGTGGTCTCTTCAGCAGATGCAGCAGGGCCTGAGCCCCCTGGGTCTTGCCCACTCCTGAACCCTGGGATCCTTGGGGGGGTTGGTGGGGAGGGAAGGGTAGGCGTACACGTGACTTCTCTGCTTACCCAACCACTGGGCCCCATCTCTCTGGCTGTCATTAAACTGGGAGCCTCTTCCACAGCAGCGTTTTAATTGTCCTGGCTAAAGATGTGTTAGTTAAGCATCACTGAAACATGGGTAAGCTTTGCCAAGTCTTTTGTAAGAATCTCTACAGAGAAAACAGATCCCAGAGCAGGAGTATCTGTGGACAAGGAATGTTGCTACAGTCCAGGTTGAAACACGCACCCGGGGCCTTCGCTTACCTGAAACAGCAGCTCGCTGGTATTCTTTGCGCTGTAGAACAGTCTCACTGCTCCGATCTCATACCCGCTGCCTGTGCTTGCCCGCGCTCGGTGGAGATCTGCCGAGTGCCGCAGGATGGAAAGCAGGGGGTTAATTCCAACTCCTCCTGCAATCAACACGAGGTTCCTGGAGGCGTCGGTGGGCTGAGGGTCAAAGAAGAACTCTCCGCCCACTCTCACTGCCACTTCAGAGTCAAGTGCACACTACAGGAGGGAAGGACAGACTCCTTAGTCCTCTGTAGCAGGGGTCTTCAATCAAACCTCCTCCCTTCGGAAAACTAACAGGTTTAGGACTACGACGACCGCATGCTCCCAGTTTCCCGCTTGGGGCTCTGCCTGACTCAGCCATCACACAGGCCATATGCTGCCCTGCTCGGTTGACTGAACACACAGCCACTGTGGCACTGAGAACAGGGAGGCTGACTTCAGTAACTTTGCCGTTTATGAGTGTCTCAGTTGATGGACTGGGGTGCGGGAAGGGGCGATGTGCGTGGGCAGGGGAGCGCTCTGGAAGCAGTGGCTCTGTTACCGAGTTTGCACCTGCGTTCCGACCAGGGTTGCGAGGTATGGGAAGTGGGGGCTGCCTCCCCATCACCACGAACCACAGCCAGGCCAGGTCCACGGGCATGGGCGTGGAGCAGCACTGCAGGCCTGCTTCTCTCTGCATCAGCAGAAACAGTGGCCAGACCCAAGTTGAAGGCTTCACATGGGGGGGGGGGTGTCACACAGACCTGCCTATTCGCTGAGGTCACCTGCCCCAGAAACATCGTGGAGCGAAATGTGCCGGAGCTGGGCGGGCCGCGCTGCTGGCCGTGGGGGAAGGGGTGGGAACTGAGGGAATCCTGCACACGTGGGGTGGTACTTTATGCTGTCACAATGATATGGAGAAGCCAAGTGGCACGTAGAGGGCAAGCGATGCTGGCAGTCCTGCCCAGGAGTTGGTGCCTACTGTGGCTCCATCTGTGATTGGTTCTGTAACCGGCTATCTCCACTGGTTTGAAATCGGCCATCGTGGCAGCAGCACACAGCCCAGCCAACGGCATGAACAAGGGTGTAATTCTTCAGAGCAGCTTTGCTGCACACCGACAGCTGTGACACAAGGGACCATCCTGTGCGGTGACTTCTGAAGGACCCAGGAGGTTTTCGCGTGCTGGGCTGTCAGATCCTCATTCATCTGTCAATAATCTCAGGGTCCCTTTTGTGGAGGTGGAACTTGATTTGCCCTGTTCAGAATGGGACCCCCATACACACGGACCACCCTCTGCTGTGCTCAGACCTTCGCCAAAGTGGGACCCCACACAGCCCAGGGTCAGCCACTCAGGAAGGCAAAACAGACCCTGCTGGAGGTGAGCCAGGTTAGGAGAGCCAGCTGCCGGCCTCATTCTTGCTCCTAGGCAACAGGTGTGCACCCCCTTCTTCTGTAACAGATGCTGTGACTGTACCACTGCCCTGAGATGCTCCCTTGTATTACAGTTAAGAGAATGTTGGGGCTCGGCACAGTAGCCACGTGGTTAAAGTCCTCGCCTTGCATGTGCTGGGATCCCATGTGGGAGCTGGTTCATGTCCTGGCCACTCCACTTCCCTTCCAGCTCCCTGCTTGTGGCCTGGGAAAGCAGTCAACGATGGCCCATGGCCTTGGGACCCTGCACCCGCATGGAAGACCTGGAAGAAGCTCCTGGCTCCTGACTTCAGATGAGCTCAGCTCTGGCCATTGTGGCCACTTGGGAAATGAATCAGCAGACAGATGTTCTTCCTCTCTGTCTCTCCTCCTCTCTGTATATCTTTCTCTATATCTATTTATATATCTAGGATATTTTTACATGGAAGGTGGTGTCTGGCTTTCCTCTCTAACAGGAATTGGCAGCCGGGAGCACAGGGGCAGGAGGCATGTGGAGCAAGTCCCGCGCAGGCTCCCTGCCCCTGTGCTTCACCATGTTCCATCCTCTCACGTCTTCAAAGCAAACCTAAGGCGCAAGAGGCTTTGCTGAGTTTTCGCGCTGGCCTGCACACACCTCTCCTTACTGCCAACAACCAGAGCGTAAAACAGACTGGAAACCACAGAGATCATTTTCTCAGTGGCCACCTTGGCATGCTTAATAATAACAACAAAGAAGCCTCAGGTTATAGTTTTTAAAAACTAAAGCATTTCCAATCTTAAAATTGGTGGGAAATGTGCCCCAGGGAAAGGTAACTACTCAAGAAGCCTGGCTTTTCCTTAGAGGCCAAACAACCTTTGGTAAATGTATCTTCTTATTTGCTGGCATCTGGAAAGAATCAAAAGCCACGTTTGTCTTTTGTTGATCAATAAAAGCTGCTGGGGTAGCGGGAACACAGATTCAAGGCTCTGCGCAGCGTAACACGTAAGTGAGTAGAAAGACATTATCTTCAATCACATGGCAATGCATCTAACCTGGGTATAGATTTTCTACTTATGAACCAGATGTTCTTCGCACGACTGGAGCTGAGCACACAATGGCTGGCTGGAGCCCTTTACCCTGCCAGGAGCCCGAGCCAAGGCGGACCAAATAGAGGAAGATGTTTATGGCACTTTATCACGAGCGGCGGCAGAGCAGCCTGCGGCCACCCACACATTCACACACATCCATAGTCCACTCCAACGGTGTAATAAGACAAACACCCAGGAGGAACGCAGCCACCTGGAAATGGCTCCAAGGAAGAACCAGCTTCCTGCAGGCTGCTGCTAGCGAGTCCCAAGGACAGGACAGCAGGCTCTCCAATTAGGGCATGCACTCGGCAGTGCCACTCCGAAATCTCCATGAAACCACACAGTGAGCTGTGGACAAGGACCAGGCCAGGCCACCGGCAGGCAGAGGACGCCTGGATGGCTGAGCTGATTTCAACTCTGAGCCAAGCTACCAAGCCACGCCAACGCCTGCTTGATTCCAGCACAGCGGCATATTCCTGAAACCCAGAGAGCGTTCTGAAAGCAGCCACACCTGAGGCTGCAGCAAAGGAGGCTGGGAGGCCTAGAGCAGTGTTAAGATGTGATGGAACACACCGACAATGGCAGTGCCACCGCAAGCCCCTGGGGTGCCCCGAGCAGACACAAATGGACAGGTTAAAGAATGTATTCGACTCTAGAATGTTTAGGGGCTGGAGCTGCAGTGTGGCAGGTCAGTATAACACCTGTGACGCTGGTATCCTGTGAGTGGTGGTTTGGATTCTGGCTGCTCCACTTCTGAACTAGCTCCTTGCTAATGGCCTAGGAGGGCAGCAGAAGACGCATGACATGCCTGGGGCCCTACACCCGTGTGGGAGACCCAGAAGAAGCTCCTGGCTCCTGGCTTTGGCCTGCATAACCCTGACTGTTGCAGCCATTTGGGGAATGAATCCAGCAGGTGGAAGACTTCTTGCTTCTTCTTTTCTCTCTCTCCCTCTTTAATTTTCAAATAAAAGTTTTTTAAATTGTCTTTTAAATTCTCTTAGCAAAACCTTTTCCCCTGTGGATATCAGCACATAAGCAGATTTATGTAACCAACATGCAAATGAAGACAGAACAGTTTTGTCATCCCACTCTCTGTACCACCCCTTCATGCACACTTCCTTTCCTAGCCCCACCTGCCAACAGCTGGCAGCCTGGCCATCACTCCATTTTTCCTAGAATCAGATATAAGTGGGATGTTCTATTCTCTAACCCCATGGGACTGCATTCTTTCACTAGACACAAGGCCTGTGAGATGCATCCAAGCTGTTAATCCCTTTTTCTTGCTGACTAGTTCACTGGATGAATGCATCATGATTGTTCATCCACTCACCTGTTGAGGGACATGCGAGTGATTTCCAGTTTTTGATAATCATGAACAGAACTGCAGTAAATCTTTATAGCAGGTGGTTATATGAGCATAGCCGTGTTGCCAGGTTACACAGCAAATGTATGTTTAACTTTACATGCAACTGCAAAATGTTTTCCAGAATGGCTATATGACTTGGCATTCCCACTAGCAAGATAGAAGAGTTCCAGCTGCTTAATTTCAGCCACTCTAATGTACTGATAGTTTCTAATAGTTTTAATTTATATTTCCGTAAGGATTAATGATGCTGCACATCTTCCCACAGAGGACCCAACTTTCTTACAACATTTTTAATTAAATGCTTTTCAGTTCTTTGCCAATCTGAAAAACTTACACTATATTCTTTTTTGAATTCTGGGAATTCTTCATATAATCTGGATATCCAATTGGCACATATTTTATCCCAGCCAATAACTTCTTTATCAATTCTTTTAATAGTATCTTTTGTAGAAGAAAAAAATTATAATCTTCATTGAATCCTACATGTAATATTTTTCTTCTATAGAACTTGCCTTTGGAGTCATGTCTATCAAGTTCCAAATATTTTCTATAGTTTCTTTCAGAATTTTTAGTTTCATAATTTGTCTTAGATTTACAACCTATTCTGAGTTAATATAAAGTATGAAGTTTAGCTCAAAGTTCTTTTCTCCATTTTTTTCCTGGAACACATACAGAGATGTACGATTGTTCCAGCACTAACGGGGGAAAAGGCTCGCCTTTCTTTCTTAAATGTCTGTAGTATCTTTGTAAAACTAAAATGGCCGCATCTGTGTCTACTTCTGAACTCTTTATTTTGTTCCACTGGTAATGTGTCTCCTTACATTCAGTAATATACTATTTATCTCGTGTTGATCTTAATCTTAAATTTGAGTACTTTCAACTTTTATTGCTTTTCAAAATTCTAGTTCCTATTTCTCACATAAATTTTAAAATCAGCTTGTCTATATCTACTTAAAAAAACCTGTTGAGATGTTAATGAGTGCTATGATCAATCTTCACTCTATAAATTATAAACAGATTCTTTCACTCTGCTGAGCCCTCCACACCATGAAGACGGTGTGTCTCTAGGTTGGTTCATGTCTGCTTTGGTTTCTCCATGAGCTTGACATGAACCATGATTTGCACGAGGCCTGGCTCTGGGGGGTGGGCCAAGGGTGTCCTGGGCTGCAGTGTTTGTACTACACTGCTCTGGGCCTGTTGTCGCAGGCCTCTCTCACGTGCGTCTTTACTGGTACTCATGAGATCCACTGTCAGCCTTTACTCTCTAGCTATCCCCATGTGGCTCCTACACAAACACAACAGTTCTCTACAACCTGGGAAAATGTGCTGGGGAACAGGCACTTAGCCTAGTGGTTAATGACAGCCGCACCTCGTCTAGGAGTTCCTGGCTCCAAGCCCCAGCTCTGGGCGCCAGCAGGCTTTGTAAGGCAGTGGTGAGCACTCATGCGGGAGGCCTGGATGGAGTTGCTCGCTCCTGGTTTTGGCCTGTGACCCAAGTCACTCTTACTGCAGCATCTAGGGAGTGAGCCTGGGGATAGGAACTCTGTCTCCCCCTGTCTCACAGACATGTGATGAAAAGAAAAGTCTGGTTTCTTAAGATTTGTTTACTTGACAGGCCAAGAAAGAGAGGGAGAGAAAACTTCTGTCTGCTTTCCTTCCCAGCTGGGGCTAGGTCAAGGTGAAGCCATGAGCCTGGACCTACATTTGGTCATCCATGTGGGCGGCAGGCACATGAGTGAGGGAAATGGAGCACCCAGGACTCACACTGGTGCTCACACAGGACAGTGGCGACGCAGCTGGTAGTACCTTAACATGCTGTGCCGTAATGCTGGCCGCGTAACTTTTTTAAATACATAAAGAAACATACACACACGTGTGTGGCAGTGGAAGGGCAGTCCAGTGTAATCAGTGACAGTTTCCACTCTGAACCATGACACAATCATCACGTCCTTCCTTGCATTCACGAAGGTTAGGACAAGACAATCTGCCGCATCAATTTGTCAAATACAAAATACACATAGCCAATTAAAAAAAAAACCTTGCTTAAAATGCACAATGGTTTCCTTCTACAGTAATACCCAGTTGAATACCACTTGGAACCCCAGAAGCACTGCCAGATCCTGAAGCCTCTTGGAACCAGGCCTCGTGCATCCAAAAGAGATCCTGCCTCTCAAGCCTTTCTGAAAAGCTCTCTGTGAGCTTGAGTTTGTATTCTAGCCACTTAGGCCGTGGCTTTTATAGCAGATCAGGTAAGCAGCACACAGTCGGTGGGCGGCAGGGCCAGCTCAGGAGCCAGAGCGCTCACTCACCGTCCTGTGGACCCAGAGCGCAGGGGCGTGGTTCGCGTACTTCACTGCCAGCTCGATCGTCCTCTCCTGTTCAAGCAGTCTGGGACTGGAGCATATGGAAAACCCACCAACCACAGAGACCCCGGGGATAAAGAAATCGACCCTAAAAGGAAAAACAAAGAAATGATTACTGTTGAGGCAACTGTAAAAGTAAGATAAACGGAAGATACACATTTTAGCTAGGCTATGAAGAAAAATTAATTACTGAAAATCAAGAGTAAAAGAAGGGACTCCAGTACCAATGCTACAGAGATAAAAGATTATAAAGGAATTCAGTGAATAACTGCTCGTTAAAGCTTAACTTACATGTAATACATGTATTCCCAGAGAGGCACAAACTGCCAACTCTGACTCAAGAAGAGACAGAAAATCTGAAAAGATGCCTAACAAGCCAAGACTGAAGTGATCATTTAAAAAAAATCCCACAAAGAGAAGGTCAGACCTAGTTGACATCAGTGGTAAATTTTACCATGCACTTAAAGAGGAATGAACCCTACTCAATCACAAAGTCCTCCGAAAACAGGAGAGAACACGGCTTCGCAACTCACTCTAGGAGCCACCTTAACAAGCCCGCTCCCCAGCCAGGCAGAAACCAGCAAGCCATATAAAGCACAGACACACAAGATCAGGTTAACATCCGATGGGGCCTCCAGCTGGTCCATGCCACAGCTCCACGTGGCCACCCCCTGGACCACAGGCAGTCCTGTCCAAGGCCGCCTGCTGACACCATGCAACCGACAGCAAAAGAAGAATCCCCTTATGTTGGCTTACAGAAAACCCAGCAGATGAATCTTCCCCCAAGATTTTGGGGTCCTTCTGAGGGTGGAACGTTAAGCTAACTAGACAGACATTAACTTACACATGTGTGCAAGGTATCGAAGACAAAGAGGATATCTGTGCAGACGTAAGCAGGAACAAATGTGGAAGGAAGCTGTCCAAAATAGCAGCAGGTGAGACAGGCCAGGTCAAAGGCAAATACCGCACACTGAGTCTCAACTGTAGAAGCCTAAAAGAAACCAACCAAACTCCCAAGTAGAACCGCGTGTAGAAGGGTTAGGAGACATCTGGACATAAAGGGACTCCAAACAGGTCAAAAAGAGGTACAGTCTAGAATTACACACCGCAGTGAACCACAGTGGATGACTACAGCTGCCCATAAGCAAATCCACATTTTCTGAGGAACTAGAAGAACAGAAGTAGAGAAATGATAAGGAGATGAATGCTAATTACTGCGACTTGATTCGTACATGCTATATAGATGTTGTGAAGTATCAGTGAACAGTTATTATATGTTAATGCAAAACTGTGTACAGTCCTTGCAGGATATAAACAACCCGCAGGTTAGCATTCAGTGTGCATACGTAGAGAAAGGTCCAGAAGACGCAGAGCCAGAGACAGAGCGCATGTGAGTGGCCTTCTCAGGAGGTCGGCCGGGGCTCCTACGGCGCAGGGCTGCCTCCCGGGATGCCAGGAGTCGGACGGAGTGGGCCTGTCGATGACCACACAGCTCCCAAGTGCTGAAAGGCTGCTGAACTGCACCCTTTAAGTGAGTGGATTTACAGGCGAATCACATCTCAATAAACTACTGTTTTAAAAGGGAAAAGCAACAACAAAAGAAACGTCACAAGCCCTGCACTGACACCAGCTGAAGTGGGATTCCAAAGTCGTGACATTTTTCTTCTCACTACAACCCTGCAGGCTGGACTTGGCGAGTTTTAAACCTTCAACAATTCTACGCCACAGGAACACTTCTTTGGGGGGCTGTGATTCTGGGAATGGCGATACATCTTGTCACATGGAAAGGCCAGGACATTTCCTAGAACCTAGAAAGGTCGAACACCCCCCCAAGTCAGGGAACCTGACACCCAACCAGGGTTTCCTGGTGTCAGCCGGAAAGCGCATCTCCCCACGTCTGGCTTCCTAAGTTCAGGCTTTCATGGAAAACAAGATGGTCTTTACCGATTGGATCCATGCCCTTAAACAATCTTCTCCTCTGATATAGGACCTATACTATTCAATCATTTTCTGGATTGGGAAGTACTCCCCCCAAAAGTCCCTGGCCTACATTTACCCACTGTCATTCGGCTCTTTTGTGGGAATACTTTAACCTCCCTCTCATTCCAGGAAAACGTTTAAAACACAAAAGCTTGCAATGACTAGTCCAGTTGCAGGCACACAGGAGGACAGAATCTCCACCATTCAATTTTTAAATAAATCCATCAATGAGCAGCTTTTGCTGCATCTGCTAAACTATGGCGCCCTCTGCTGCTCCAATTGATAAAGACGAGAGCCCTAGAGAGCTACCTTAGGAAAAAGAAACCTCTCTCCTTTAAAAGTTAAAATTCAAATTACATAAAAATTTAATCTGAATCGATTTAAGACAATGTGCACAATAAATATTTGATTATTAAAAGTTTGAGAAGTGGACACTGGACGCAGCAGTTAAAACACAGCTTGGGAAACCCTCACCCCCCTTTGGAGTGCCTGGTTCAAGTCTAGGCCCACTTGGGATACAGCCTCCTGATGGTCGGGAGCACTCTGGTAAGGCAGCAGATGATGGCTCAAGAACGAGCACCCGAAAAACCACTGGGGGACCTGGACTGCGATCTGGGCCCTTGGTTTCAGCCTGGTGCACCCCCAGCTGTTTGGGGTACTTTGGGGGAAGACAATGTCAGTCAGTCAATCTCTCACCTCTCAAATAAAACATGTACATAAACATATTAAAAGTCTTTAAAATCCTGTCCAAGGCAGAATTTTCCTACAAGCACACAACTTTAAAAATAACTTTTGCACAACAAGCATTCCTGGAGTCAGCAGAGTCCACCGGAAACGAGAAGAGGAGCCTGGGAGCGCAGCAAAGCAAGTAGTCACACAGCACGGCCACCTGCCACACCAGGCGACGCCAGTGCACAGTGGGCATGCGCACTGAGGCCGAGCGATGGCACTCTACCACAGAACCCTCCAGCTCTTGGGTCCTCTGTGCTAGTCCTCACAGCCCCTGATAAATCCGCTCTAGTGGGAGGAGAGATCACGGATGGATACAATGGAATCTGCTTAAAGTAACGGAGAGCAGTCAGCTAGACCAAAACAACGACTTCACAGAGGGGATGCTTCGTAACCCAAGTCTTAAAGACAGAGTGCTCCCAGCCTGGTCTGCGCACACTCCGAGGCCCCCGCACCTCCTCAGCAGACCCCGGGAGTCAGAGCTACACAGGCACAGGGTGGGGAGGACAGGGCATGGCCCCCCTCCCGCGAGTATGTGTCAGTACACACCTGTCTCCAATCTCGCCACTCCAGTTTCTTGTTCCTTCGCATCTTCCTTCTCACAATAGGGACCCATGTGGCTTCCTTGCCTTTTTTTTATGATTTATTTTTATTGGAAAGGCAGACAGATTTCCAGAGAGAAGGAGAGACAAAGATCTTCCATCTGCTGGTTCACTCTCAAAATGGCCACAATGGCTGGAGCCAAGCTGATCTAAAGGCAGGAGCCAGGAAGCTTCTCGGGTCTCTGTGAGTATAGGGATCCAAAGACGTAGGTCACCTTCCACAACTTTCCAAGGGAGCTGGACCAGAAGTGCAGCAGCCAGGACACAAACTGGCACCCATGTGGCATAATGGCAAGGTGAGGATTTAGCCATTGAACCAGTGTACCAGGACCCCGACACAGTTTATTACAGGAGAGGAGGGCCGAGCTGCCAGGATGAGTGCCAACAGCTGGCAGAGACAGTGTCACCGTCAGCCAGCCAGTGACAAGTAGCTGCAAGTCTTCCCTCTTTCGCTGAAGCCAGCCAGGTGCATACTAGAACCATCCCTACTGGCACAGGTGATGGGCCGAACCTGACCCTGCCTGCACTGGTGGGTACACACCAGTCAAGACCTAGGGCACCCCAGGTGAGATTTCTTGGGGGACTCTCCAACTGGACCACTGGACTCAACACCTGGCCACAGTGGAAATCACGATATAGGTGGTCAGACCTTGGTGTTGGGAATGGCTTGCCTCAGTTGCTGTTGCCTGTGCAGTGGACAGCATGCCCAGATACATGCAGGGGATGTGACAGCCAGCTCATCAAGGCCAGCAGAGGACATCCAGTAACTCGTCAGAGGATGGAAAGCAGAACAGGCTGGACAACTCCCCTGGCCGAGCTTGGCAGCAAGTATCTGGTCTGTGGCTGCCCTAAGGTGCACTTGTTACCAGCTGACCTTAGAAAGATCTTCATAGCTCTGCTGCAGCAAGGCCAACAGCATCTCAGGACTATCACAACCTCTCAAGTAACACTCTCGGGACACTCTCCCCGACATCGGGGTCTCCAAGGTGTCATCAAATGTCACCCCCATCCCTGGTGCTGATGTAGTTTGACAACAAGGAGTGGCTGCCTGCCCTTCCCCATCTGCAGACACAGAAGAAAAAAAACCAAACAGTCCCACCCACCTTCCTCCATATCTCAACCCTGCCCATCCTAATCAGATGCCCACATGGGTGTGCGTCCCTCTCAACCATGTAAACATTAGGAAACATAAAAATAATAATTAAAAAAACCTGCTTTAATTAAAATACGAGACAAAGGGATGGTGTATGTGTTACCTGGAGATTGCCAGTATACCCCTATCCGTGTGGCCGGGGCTGAGGGCATTTCCCTTATCAGACACCTGCACAGTGCAGGTGGAGGCCACCTGCGGGCACACATGGCGGTGGCCCTGCAGCCAGTGTGCGGGCGCCCCCTCACCAGAGCCCGCGCCCGGGGCCCAGCAGGATCCAGGGCTGCGCAAGGGACACACACGCTGAGAGACAGAGCCGTGCAGCCACACTTCCACTTTCCATGGAGTAACCGCGAAGCCATTTTTGAAGGGTAAATATGTGGCCCGCCCCCTCAGGCAGCCACCCTGCGTTTAATATGTATCACAGAACATGTGCAAAGATTGCAGTAAATTGCTTCACAAACGCAAATTATTGCAATCAGCATCTTGTTTTTTAGTTCTAAATTCAAAGGCAAACTATTAACACAAGGCTGCTAACTCTTGCTATTATCACACTTGCTATTATCACACATCCTCTTTCTAACAAAACCGCATTTCCAGATGGACTGCCAAAATTAGGCAAGCGACTCCTAAGAAACACTGTCAAGATTGACATGCCAGAATTGATCTGGCAATGAATGCTTTGTTTAAATAAAGGACACACACACACACCCCCAAACACACCTTTCCTAGGGAAACGCAAGTTTATGTACTCACGATTCCATTTGAATGGCGACTCAATGGGGCTACCCGGGCCACTGCTGCCCTGCCAGCACCCAGACCTACGAGCTGCTGGCAGGAGCTGGGAGGGAGAGGGAGATCCTGGTGAGAAACAGAGCTTTGAAAGCTGACCCAGGCGAGGTACAAGCAAGCAATGCAGGTGTTTAACCGCCAGGACTGCCAGCCGGGCAGACAGAGCAGGGCACTCCGCCCGCGAGGCTGCTGTTTGCTCGGCGTTGGACATAAAGAGGTCTTGTTTGTAAAGACGCGCATGCCCAGCAACACACCAAGGCGGGTACATTACAGCACTGTCCGAGTGCTCTCTCAGCCACCATTCCCACACCCCCTAAGCACTCCTGTCCGGGTGCCGAGGGCAATCCGCTTCTGCATACGGGACAAGGCTGCCCTGGCACAGATGTGAGCTGGAGGTGCTGGCCTGCTGGGAGGGAAAGCTGCGAAGCCGAGCCCCTTCTCTTGCGGCATCTTCCTGAGCAGACGGCGGGGCAGGCAACGTACTCACCACTGGCCGGCTTTGAAGGAGAACTCCTTATCGGCCACAAGCAAGCGGAGGCTCTTCACGGAGGGCGACTCAGCTGCAATTGCACACACCTTGGCCGGCGACACCACCTAGGGCCGAGAGATGAACTTGGGCTCAGTGGGCAGCCCAAGGCGCCCAGCCACAGCCTCACCTATGAGCATGGTGCTAAGCCAAATGGTTTGTGTGCAACTTCACCTGGTCGACAGGAATAAACATGCCACATCCCCCAGGCACGGGTGTTAGCCTTCATCCTGCAGACAAGCCAACAGAAAGGCCCAACTGACTTCTTCAATAACACCTCCCTAGGGGCAGCTGACCCAGGATTCCAACCCAGGGGGCCTTGCCCTAACTCAGGGGGGTGCCCTGGCAAACTCTCTGATGCGCAGAATGAACTCCACCAGACCTATCCCTGCTACACTCTCTCCTCGAGCACGGATGATGCTGGGGACCGGGGACACAGACATGAAGGCTGGCCCGCACTCCCAGAGCCCTCAAAAAGCAGCTTTACCCGCTCACCTGGACCCCAATTCTGGACCATGTTGGCCTCCACAGCATCAAACCTGTTCTCATAGCCATACAAACACGTGCAGACTTCCTGGCACTCGCGCTAACACAGTCCAACTCTGAATCTACTGCAAGTCTTTTTCCTTCTCTAGTCCCTCTCCACCTTCCCAGTTCTTCTCACTGGTCCCGCTCGCTTGGCGTCCTCCTTGTGTTTCTCAAAACACACAATGGACAACGTACTTCTAATGTTCCAACCTAGGGAGTTATTCCTTAGCTCCAATGGCCACTCAATTACAACAGAGAGAGAGAGGCCAGTGCTATGCTGCCAAGGAAAAAAGGTATCCTTTCTATTAAATCACATTTTCATCTCGTGTCTTTGATCAAAGAACTTTCCAGATACACTTTGTCTACGGGTATTAATGCTATCTATCCTAATAATCCGGATAAAACTACCAGAACTGGAACACGAAAATACCTCTCACGATTCATGACTTTCAAAGACATGGCTCCCTCTTATTACTTTATTTTGCTTAACCCAATACAAGATTCTTAGTCATACGAATTAAAAACATGAACAGAAACTGTTTGAAGGCCCCATATTTATTTTACTTGGACGCTAGTTGTGTCATTAAGGATCTGTAGTTGTGCCTTTTGTTTTATGGAATTCTTTTTCTACTTTCACTGAGTAAATAAAATATGCCAAGAAATTATACGTTTTAACATGTGTACTTGCTCCTATTCTTACTGGATCAAAAAATTCTGCAACTAAAACCTCAACTAGCTACTTCCTAAGTTAAAGCACATGGCAGGAAACAAAGTTTCCCATGAAATAACATTTAGATTCTTCTACCTTTCAATAAAAAAAAAAAGCAATACACTTGCCAGCTTGTACTCTAAGACACACTCTGAGTGCTTTGTCAGAGTCAGCTCTAAAAGGAAATTCCATCATATTTATTTAAAAGGCCAGTTCTACGTAGGATATTCTTATGTTACTGCTGACATCAACGTCTGGACAGGAAAGAGGTCTTTCTTTGGACGGCCTTCCCTGTTCACTTCCATGTATTTGTTTTCTGGTTCAAAAATTGAGGCCAAGTTGGGATGAGAAGACTACCCCAACCCAACACAGCAGTCAGGGCTTCCAGAAGTTCAGAACTGAAGGAACCCGCAGTCATGATCAAGCCCTGCCTGCTACTTGACACTTAAGAACCCCGACAACTCAGGGACATCACTCAGATGGTAAGCAGAAACCAAACAGGCCTGTGGGGGATCGAGAGACGTGCTGACGAAGGAAAGGCTGTAAGCTTCTGTCGACCTCACTGTTTTACATTATATGCTGGCAGAGCTGGTGGCCTCACTGAACCAGCTCCCCTCTACCCTCTCCAGGGGTCACTCGACCATCTATGCTGGCTCTGGAATCAGCCGCTGCACACCCCTGTCTGTGAGAAACATCGACTTCCTTGGAGGTTGTCGTCCAGTCTATAGCAGCAGTCGCAGCAGCAAACACCTGCTGATGGTGCCGGCCGCATGCCAGGCCCCTCCATCCATCCGCTCCTCACAATGACCCCAGAAGCTAGAGCCTGCCGCCCTCACTTCACGTGTGAGAATATGAGCTAGTGAGAGGCAAGGCTGAAATCTGAATCCGGGAACCCGTGCTTGCCTGCTTTTCTTTTCTGTTCTTGTTCTTCTTCTTTAAGATTTATTTATTTATTTGGAAAGGCAGATATACAGAGAGGAGGAGCGACAGAGAGGAAGATCTTTCGTCCGTTGATTCACTCCCCAAGTGAACGCAATGGCCCAAGCTGAGCCGATCCAAAGCCAGGACCTTTCTCCAGGTCTCCCACATGGGTGCAGGGTTCCAAGGCTTTGGGCCAACCTTGACTGCTTTCCCAAGCCACAAGCAGGGAGCTGGATGGGAAGTGGAGCTGCCAGGATTAGAACCAGCACCCATATGGGATCCCTGCATGTTCAAGGTGAGTAGTACTTCAGCTGCTAGGCTACCGCACCGGTTCATTGCCTGCTTTTCAAAACAACAAACAAAATAACCCTCTCCTTTAATCCATTCCTTGGCTCCTCATCACATCACACAGCTAGACGGCTTCTGCGGGTCCTGCCTGCATTTCCTCAGGCTCCTGTTCTCTCTGCAGCACATTCTGTCCAGTTTTCAAGTTCATCAGTGCTGGCCACTCCCCTCGATTGGTGCCCACAGAGCCTCCACTGGTGCCCACCTCTCAGCTGACTCAACAGCTGCCATGAGTTAACACAAGTGGAAGGCTTGCTAAAGCTTTGTGTCATCTCATCTCATCTGTATTTCCTCCACTTCCCTTCTATCTTATCCTATTCTAAAACTTAGCTCTTGATGGCCACTCCTCCAAACTCCCTCTCCAGTTTGAGTAACTGCATGCTATGATCATCACAGCCTTTAGTGAATCCATTTTCTCAAGTCCCAGGCCCTGGAAGTCACCTTGGTCTCCTCCCCTTTCACTAATGACCTCGCGTCTAACTCTGTATCACAATCTAGGAACCCAGGCCCACCTCCTGCCCTCCTTTTTCCTTGGTGGGAAAAAGGACTGCTTTATTTACTGAACTGTGAAAAGCACTGACACCACATTTTAGACACTACCCCTTCCGTTCTGGGTGGAGTTCATGCTGGAATGCTGGTAGTACAGCCAACGTTCTCATTTTCTATCTGTACAGAGCTGACTTGCAAGCTCACCTCATCTCTTCAGCTGGCTGCCAGCCTCACTGCTACTTCATCAAATGACTCAACCAACAAATACAGGAAACCAGCAAGGGTGAAGGGCATTGCCTGATTACTCAGTGAGGCCTGTGTTGAGTGCCTGTGGTGTATCAGCACTCTGATAGATACCAGAACTGCCAAGCGGCTCCTTTCAAGGAGCCTGCTGATTTTTGCAACTTTCAACTTATAGCAACTGCAGGGGATGCAAGCTAACTGTGCCAGCCTGAAAGTCTCTCCCAGAAGCTGTGGCCGAGCTCTGCATGCCGTTACAGCTCCAGAGGGCTGCAAACAATAAGCTTAAGACACACTTCTCTCCAGCCAAGCAACCCATCCCACCCAAACCCAAGCCCCAGCAAAGCACAAACAGATGAAGAACATGTGACAATCAGGACTGGGAACAGTGTTTGTTATTCTACATTTATTAGAAAGGAAAAAAGAGAGACATATGTATAGAGACGGACAGAGCTTTCCCACTCACTGGTTCACTACCCCAAATGCTCTTAAGAGCTGGACACTGGCCAGGCTGAAGCCAGGACCCAGCATTTAGTCCATGATTGCCACGTGGGTGAAAGACACAAATCCTCGAGCCATCACTGATGCCTCCCAGGTTGAGCCTTCGCAGGAAGCTGGTCCGCAAGTGCAGGAGCTGGCACCAGAGGCAGACACTGAACTAGGATGCAGTGTCCTAACTGCTCCACTGCAGACTATAAACTAACCACTGCACCACCAGTAACTCCAACCCGAGAAACAAGCCATACAACTAAACTGTCTGCCCAAACTGGGTGTCACATTTGTGGCAGCAGAAAAGAAAACAGGTCTGATTATCAAAACTCTGGGTCCAGGACTGACTCCTTCACTTGCCTGAACAGTTCTGTAAAGGTAGACCCAGAACCTGTCCGGGTGCCTAGCAAATTTCCAAATGAATAGAACACACCAGAAACAACATTTGAAAAAGCAAGCCACTGCCTCATACTGCTATCAGATTGATGAACTGAATATGACTTGCTTAGTGGGTCAACCCTCTACAGAGGCCAAGCGCAGAGTGACCCCTCGAGTAAAATAAGGACCTGACTAAACAGTCCTCACTGCACAATGATAGCTCTGCTCTTATCTCCTTGACATTTTGAAGGTTCCCACACTGCTTACTCTTTGACCCTTAGGAAACAAATGCGAACTGGAACAGAAACAGCCAAATGTCATTCAATTCAAAGTTCAGCTTCCTGCAATAATCTAACCTTAGCCTGGTGACATTTACCGTTCCAAGTAAGGACATTAACATCATAAAACGGTCATTCGGTACATTTTGCAGCAGGGACACAATGCCCAACACTGGAAGGACATTTCTGAGTGAAGGAATATTTCCTTCTTGATCCACTTCAGGACTAGCGGCAGGGTCTCCCTGGGAGACCTCCCCTGCTGGTTTCCTCCTTAGTAACAAACAGGTAGATAACTTCCTATGCTCAGGCTAGTTCGAGGGTGTGAAGTGCAGAGCAGATGATGGGAAGCGCTTTGCAAATGCACTGCTATATAATCAAAGGCAGAAGTGGAAGACAAGTCCAGGAGAGGCAACTCCTTACGGTCCAACTTAGGGTTCACTTCAAGAAGCCCAAGTTCTACCCCTTGCTCTATGCTAGGAGTAACCTCTAAAGAGACTGGCTGAGCCCCATACACTCTTGAAATGATGGGTCATACTGCTCTCTCCAATTTCTCCCAGCTCCTCCCAGTTTTCAGTTTGTCTGAGAAAAGAGTAGAAATGAGAAACTTAGGAAAAAGAGTTATGATGGGACAACCCTTTTAAGGCGTTCCCTTGATTGGGTTTGAACTATGTATTCACTATTACTAAACAGTAAAATTCCCAACCTCTCAGTTACACTTTTGAAGAGTTCACATCAACTTTTTTGTGTGTATAATTTCACCTAAACTTGGCTCAGAATAACCCCACGACATCCTGACAATTTATCCTGTGAAGTTCTGAAGCAAGCAGCAGGCACTGGGCACAGTAATTCAGATACTGTGTTGTGGCAGAGCACCTGCCCCAAGCCCCGGCTTCTACACATCCATCCCAGCTTTCCATCAAGGAGCCTCATGAGAGACGGGGATGCCAAGTACCAGGGACCTTGCCACCAAGCTGGGAAACTCTGACTGAGTTTTAGACTCCTGGCTTTGGCCGGGCCCACCCGTGGCTAAAGTGGGAATTTGACATAGTAAATCAACAGATGGAAGATCTTTTATGGTTGCTCTACCTTTCCAATAAAATAAAATGTAATAAAAAATTATATACTTTGTATAAACTGTCCAATGGCAGGACCTGGTGCAATGACTCAATTGGCTAAATCCTTGTAAGTGCTGAAAATCCCATATGGTCACCAGTTTGTGCTCCAGCTGCTCCACTTCCCATCCACCTTTCCAACAAAAATAAATCTTTTTAAAATTTTTATTGGAAAGTCAGATTTACAGAGAGGAGGAGAGAAAGAAAGATCTTCCATTTGCTAGTTCACTCTCCTGCTGGCCACAATGGCCCAAGCTGAGCCAATCTGAAACCAGGAGCCAGGAGCTTTCTCCAGGTCTCCAACGTGCATGCAGGGTCCCAAGGCTTTGGGCCATCCTCTACTACTTTCCCAGGCCATAAGCAGGGAGCTGGAAGGAAACTGCCCATATGGGATCCTGGCACTTGCATGGCAGGGACTTTAGCCACTAGCCTCACCCCCCAAATAAATGAATCTTGAAAAAAAAAATGTGCAATGGCTGTTGTAAATAAACTCCAACTGGATGTTTTGATAAACAGTTTGCCTGGAACATGCCACACTGTATTGTCTACTCATTATCTACGGCTGAGTCACGCTACAAGGGCAGAGCCTGGTAGATGGAACAAAGTCAGCAGGGTTCATAAAGCCTAAAACTCATTTCAAAAAAATGAAAAACCCCTGAAACAGAATAACGCAAACCTATTTAACAAGCTACTTTCACTTCACATCCAGGAATGGTTCCATTAAAAAAATAAAAAAAAAAAAAGAAAAGATAGCAAACAAGTCTGACCATTACAAAATCAGCATGTTTGTGGGTTGAACAAGCAGAAAAAAAAAAAAAATTCAGATTTATCATCAGTGGAAAAGTGTATTTTCCCACATGCCCATAAATCTACTCTGAACACATCTGTGGACCGTAATACTAAGCTACACATATTTAGGCACAAAAGAAACAATCAAAAAGAGAAAACTAAGAATCCAACTCATGGTCTTAAATGAAACCAGGGTTCTTTGTGGAGGTGAAGGTGAGCCCCTTCATTTCCGGCCCTTGCCGCCCGTCAGGTGGCACATGAGCCTGCCTGAGTCTGACCACGCTGGGGGAGACCGTGCACGCAAAGCCAGCCTCCTTTCCCGGGTCGGCGTCTCCCCTCGCAGTGAGAACACACACTTGCGGACTCGTGCTGGCAGGCTGGGGAAGGTAAGCTTCTGGAAGCAGTCCATCTCCGACCACAGCCCTGCACGGCAGTCCTGTGCGGACGGGGCGACAGCTGCATCCCCTTACCCCGACTGGAAAGGGAGGACCCTGGGTCCTTCTCTGTCACCGTTTCATATCAGTTAGCCCATGTCCCTGAGTGGAGAACTTCTCAATGAATCACATCCCCTGACTGCCCAACTGCCCGAGCCAGCCACCAGTCAGGACTGGGTGCACCTGTCAGCCAGAGAAGCCATCGCCCCTGCAGACACAGACCTCCCGGCGGACGGCACTCGCTGTTCTCGCCAAGTGATCCATCTTCCTGTTGGATCTCCTTAAGCTTTAACAAGAAAAAAAGAAACAAACAGGTTATAATCCACTACCCTCAGAAAAGCACTGAGCTCAGTCTGTCCCGCAACATCATAACCCAATGTCCCACAGCCCACAACAAGATCAGCGCAAGTGTGTACACATCTAACAATAATTTGTGATCTGCTGACAGCGTGTACATTTTAGCCACGTGGTTGTCTCTTTCAGGACTTCCATAGGCTTTCCACAGCTGGCAGCAGGTGAGGCCTCCTGGGATGCTCGAGGACTCACCTGCTCAGGGCGAGGCAGCGCACGGTACTGGCTGGCAGAACCGAAGGCGCGGCCTGGATGCAGAGGGCTCGGATGGCACGTCTTCCACGTGTCAGGACAGCAGCACACACCATGGCGCCTCCCAGGCAAGCAGCAGGCTGAAATCCAAGATGGTTTTAAGAGAAGATCAGACTACATTAAAGGCCAGTGAAGAAGAATTCACACTTCTGTTGTGCTGTTAGGAGCTTTGCCAGCCAAGCAAGCAAGGGCCGGGACTGCCATTCCTCACCCCGACAAACCATCTTCCCTGTTTAGAGTAGACTCTGTGAGCCTCCACAGCACACAGGTATGTGACCATTGCTACTGTCAAAACCGGTCCTGAGCGCCCGATGCAATAGCCTACCGACTGAAGTACTTACCTTGAACACACTGCGATCCCATACGGGCACCAGTTCTAACTCTGGCAGCCCTGCTTCCCATCCAGCTCCCTGCTTGTGGCCTGGGAAAGCAGTCGAGGACAGCCCAAAGCCTTGGGACCCTGCACCCCCTACCCCCGCGTGGGAGACCGAGAAGACGCTCTGGGCTCCTGGCTTTAGATTGGCTTAGCTCTGGCTGTTGTGGCCGCTTGGGGAGTGAACCATCAGAGGAACACACCTTCCTCTCTGTCGGTCCACCTTCCCAATGAAAATAAAATCTTAAAAAAAAAAAAAAACAAACAAAAAAACCCAACAGGTGTCACGCCTCTGTAAATCCCCTCCCCCCCAAACTCAGCTGCTATTTAGTTAAATATGGAAATACTGGGCCTGGCACTGGCACAGTGGGTCAGGCTGCCCTCTGTGACACTGCTGGCATCTCATATGGGTACCAGTTCAAGTGCAGGAAGTTCCACTTGCTATCCAGCTCCCTGATGCACTTGGGAAAGCAGGGGGAGACGGCTCAGGTACCCGGGCTCCTGCAGTCGTGCGGGAGACCCAGCCGGAGTCCCAGGTCGCTGGAGGCAGCCACTGAGGCCGCGTGGGAAGTGAACGAGCAGATGGAAGATCTCTCCTCCTCTCACTCTGATATTCAAACAAATAAATCTTGTGAAAACACTGTTCTGTTCGATATTTTGGGCAATGATTGCTAAAAAAATCTTCCTCACTGTAGGACATGTTGTTTAGTGAACATGGTGTCTGAATAATCTACTTCTCAAATGAAATGAAAAACAAAGGAATTTTAAGCTTTAAAAGCTGTTCTTAGAATTCTAAAAAAAAATCTTTGACAGTAATCATGACCAGGAGTGCCACCTACTGGTAAACAGAGGGCATTAAAAAAACTTTCCAGCGCCTTCCAGGGCTTTTCACTAGTCCTTTAAATGTAGAGTACTTAAAAAACAAAACAAAATGGAAAACCACTCACTTTTAAAATATTCCCAGTGTTTTCATGTATCCATTCTAAACATTTAATCACAGCAGATCAACACATGTTTTATTTTTAAAAGATGTATTCATTTATTTGAAAGACAAAGACATATACAGAGAGGAGAGATCTTCCATCCACGTGCTCACTCTACAAATGGTTGCAGTGTCAGGAGCTGGGCTGATCTGAAGCCAGGAGCCAGGAGCTTCTTCCAAGTCTGCCATGTGGGTGCAGTGTCCCAAGGTTTTGAGCCGCCCTTCACTTCCTTCCCAGGCTACATGCAGGAAACTGGATGAGAAGTGGAACAGCTGGGACACAAACTGGTGTCTGTATGGGATCCTGGCACTTGCAAGCTGAGGATTTAGCCATTGAGCCATCATGCCAGGCCTACCTATGCTTGGTTAATCCAGCTCTGCCCACAACCCCATTTCATCATACACAGCATTGTGGTTCACTAAGAGCCAGGATTCCGGGACCAGATAGATGGGAGCTTGCATCACAGCTTTCCGCAACTTAACAGCTCTGCCTCGGCACTTCCTTAGTTCCCAGACCTCAAGTTTCCCATGTTAAAGAAGGCACCAATTTCCACACTATTTTAATGACATAACACACGTAAAGGAGAGGCTCAGGGCTCAGCACAGAGTGCCAATCACCATTAATAAGCCATTCATTAGTTTTTTGCTATTTTATTTTAGGTAATACAAGGCACTTGTCAAAGTTTGTGGAAATGTAATTTATTAAAAGTTAAGTTTATTGTGCCGCAAAAAAAATTGAAATCATAAATATGAGTACATAAATAAAAGTTGGAAAGTTATACAGAGAATTCACCTTAGGAGCCCTGTAACTTTTAGCACTCAGAGTCTTTAGTAAATTTGTTATATCAGATCTAAACTACTTTTTAAAAATGGTTTGTTTAGGGCTTGGCGTGGTAGCCTAGTGGCTGAAGTCCTCACCTTGCACACACTGGGATCCCATATAGGAACCGCTTTGGTCCCAGCTGCTCCACTTCCCATCCAGCTACCTGCTTGTGGCCTGGGAAAGCAGTCGAGGATGGGCCACACCCGAGGGACCCTGTACCTGTGTGGGAGACCAGGAAGAGGCTCTGGGCTCCTGGCTTCTGATCAGCTCAGCTCCAGCTGTTGCGGCCATTAGGGGAGTGAACCAGTGGATGGAAGATTTTCCTCTCCATCTCTCCTTCACTCTATGACTCTGCCTTTCCAATAAAAATAAATAAATCTTAAAAAAAAAAGAGAGAGAGCGAGAGCTCTTTCCCTCTCAGTCTCTCCGTCTCACTGATTTTCAAGTAAAATAAATAAATCTTCTTTTTAAAAAGGGACGGTTGGTCCCAAGTAGAGCTTCAGCTCAGTGTACGCAGACCTAGTAAACTTACACAAGCATTTCTGAGTATGTGTAAGCATGGGGTGACTGCACATATGTTACAGAATATGTGTATGTGTGTACATGCAAATACATAAAAATGATGTGCGATTGCTGAGCCAAATAAAACTCATAACTGCCATGGCAGAGAACACAAGGTTCGAAAGGGGCAGGTGAGCCAGCTCCAATGCAACCGCCCTTTTTTCAGGTGGTAGATGAAAGGCGGGCCAAGTAACGTAAATACGCCGCTTCCAAGGCTCATTCACAACCAGGTCAGATCCAGAGAGCAGATCTTCGTTTCTTAATCGTGCCATTTTCACAACCTCACTCTGTTTCCCTTGAAATATGGAAGAGTGATGGTCCCACTCCCCACAGCAGCCGGCTGCACGCCAACAGGCAACCAGCACTGTTTTCAGGGCAAGCCACCTTTTATTTGTATTTCGCTTCAAGATACACAGAGAATCTGCCCAGGAGTATCACTCCTTTTACAAAGAAGAGTAAGTGAAGTAATCTATTCCCAGGCTTTGGAGAGAGCCAGGCTCTTGGTTATTCCCTGAGAGTGTAAACCTGTTACTGCAGCCTGCAGATCAGTAATGAAATGACATCTGATCCCCCTAGAGCTAACGGCAGAAAGACGCCTAACAAGCGCCCCAGATCGAAGGCTAGCATTATGTCTCGGTGTGGTGCATTCTGTTCTACGGCAGGACAGCGGATTGCAACTCAGTCCTTTCACACAACACCGACCGTGCTCGGGAATCTAAAGATCTCGCGGTGGGAAAGAGCCGGGATGTACCTGCAGCCAGGAGCTAGTCAAGTTGGATCACGTGGCGAAGAGAAACTTCACGGCAACCATCCGACCCCCAGAAGGGACTTGGCGACTCAGGTCAGATTCTCAGACCTGTTCCTGGGTGCTCCCACCGCGGCAGAAGCCCCAGCAAATGGGCACAATTCTCACGCCCGAGGATGTCGCCTGCCGCCCGCTCCCCGACGACGTCTAAGGGCCCCGTAGGCCACGAGTAGCCACGGCCAGCAAGCACGGGGGACAACAGTCCCAGCCTCGAGACACGCGCCGACTAGGCGCGCCCCGCCGTGACGTAGCAGCCGCTCCAGGGAGCCCTGGCGAGCTATTGGTCATAGCATTCCAGTGGGCGGAGCGACGCCGACGGGAGACGCCCTTTTTAGAAGGTCTCCGCCCTTAGCTCCGCCATCTCCATGGGGACCGCGAAACCCGGTCACCCCTTTGGCCGCCCTGTCCGGAATTGCGTCACTGTCTAGCGCCGGAAGTGACTGTCGTGCCCCGATGGGTGGTGAGGACCTGACAGGTCTGGGCCGGCTCTTGAGAAGTATCGAACGGAACATGTGTTAGCTGTTTACCGGCCCCGGGGACCATGGCTGTGTTTCACGACGAAGTGGAGATCGAGGACTTCCAATATGATGAGGACTCAGAAACGTACTTCTACCCCTGCCCGTGTGGCGATAACTTCTCCATCACTAAGGTAACTGAGGACCCGGCTACGCGGCTTACGGAGCGTGCGCATTGTGTGGTGGGGGGGTGGGGTGGAGCGCCTGCGAGCATGCGCATTGAGGGTGATGGGGGTGGAGAGCCTGCGAGCATGCGCATTGTGGTGGCAGGGTGGCTGGCTGAGCGACTCACCCATCGAGCATGCGCACTGCCCGGTGTGTGTTCTGGCTCCCTGGCTGTCAGCTTTTCCTTGCGTCGGCTTCGTTCCCCTGATCGGGTGGCTCTGTGCGGTCACTCTTCCCCTCCTCTGGTGTTTCTGAACTGCTTTCCCCCCCGCCGCCAGCAGTTGCTACCTTCAGCTCTCATTGGCCCCCAGTCACGCCACGGGAGGGCTGGCGGGGGCGGGAGCCCCCCAGCCCCGCGGCTCTCCCTAGGGGCGCGTGTTCCTTTAGCAGAGAGGTTGCAGTGACTGAACCCTCCCCAGCCTTCGCGGTGTCGCTCCTGGCAGGCCCTTTTGGCTAACATCATCTCGCGGGACTGACAAGCCACCAAGAAACTGGCAGTAAGGGGTGGGAGAGGGGACGGGAGGACAATGCTGACCGCCCGGTGTTTGGTTTCTTTGTAGGAAGATCTGGAGAATGGGGAAGACGTGGCAACGTGCCCTAGCTGCTCTCTGATTATCAGAGTGATTTATGACAAAGTAAGGGACACCGTGTAAAGGCGGGGGGACAGGGGCTAGGACCTTGAGCGGCTTGTCTGTGACCCTCAGGTGCAGGACAGTGTTGTACTAGGTAGAGTGCAGAGTTTTCTCCACAAGTTTTTAAAATATTCAGATTTTGAGAGGTTAAGTTTCTGTAAACTCATTTTAGCTTTGGAGTGGGTAACAAAACTAAGGAACATGACTGCTTTTTAAATAAAAAAATCTTCCAATCCCTGGTTCACTCCCCAAATGGCCACATTCATGCATTTTTAACATGGACACTCACTGGCTAATGTCGCTTCTTATTCTGTCTTAGGATCAGTTCATGTGTGGAGAAACAATCCCAGCCCCATCAACCAGCAAAGAATTAGTGAAGTGCTAACGAAGCCTGCGAGAGAGCGAGTCTCCGGCAGCTGGGCCTGAGCCGAGGAAACGCCCAGCGCAGTTTCTGGCTCCTTGTTAGGGCCAAGCAGGAGTCGTGGGCCTTCCTCTGCGTTTCGAATAAAGAGGCGAGTCTACACCATGACACGCCTGGATTTCATGCTTAGAGCTGTGAAGTGCAAGTGTTCTTAATTACCTGTCAGGATGCCAAGGAAGATCATCTCAGAGCAGTGCTTTCTCTGGCTCCATTTTATCATTTTTCTGTCTTAAGCCTTAGTTCAGTATCTGACAGCAACATCAGCTACCTCATTCATTAGCATTCCCTACTAAGCAAGGGGTAACATTTGTGACGTGGCTGTCAAGAGGATCAGGCCCTTTTTTTGAGCTTTGACATCACCTCTGCTTCTCTGTCTAAACTGACGAAAATGCATTGTCCGCACGCTGGGTCACACGTCTGACCTGTCTCCTCCTGGGTGTCGTCACCATGACCACACTCTGCGCAATGTGCAGTTTGTGTGGCACTTTTGCACAGTGTGTTCAGAATTTCTCTAGGACAAAGAAAAGTCCACAGTGAAAAGTCAGCTTAGGCTTCCATGTCCCTTGAAAGCAGGACAAGTTAAAAACAGCCAAAGGGCAAGAAATTGGTCACCTAATGAGAGAAGCAGAACATGCAAGGTTGGGAATGAAATGCTTGAGCACTTCTGCTTCTGTTTGTTTGTCTTTTGTTTGTTTGTTTGTTTAGATAATGCTAATGAAATTGCTTCCCAGATGAGGGTTAATGTCAAACTTTCATGGCTGGTGGCGGTGATTTCAGTATGTCACATATCATGTCGTTGCTCCTGAAAGGGAGAGCATGACAACAGAGAAGGGTTGGAAACGGCAGGCCTGGCATGGCTCAGTAGGCTCACCAGGCACGTCTCGTTGGCCTGTATTACACGCACATCTCCAGGGAAATGCTGCGGAAGGAAAAGAACTATGTAAAGATGAGAGGTCAGTCTCGTCTTTGCTGTAGTTCTGAGAGTAACAAGAAATTAGAACCACTCAGATGGAAATTTGAAAATTCCCTTGATAGGCAACTTTGCTGTGTGAATAACAGTTTTCAGAAAGCTCTGGCAGGTCGTTTTTGGAATGGTTCCTGCAACTGAAACAGTCTGCTGGAAAGTGAGTGCTGTGTTAGTGGTTGGCAGACGTTCGGCGCACACGCATGGGGTGGCCAGCTTGCGCCTGGCAGTAGTGTGGCTGTGTGTGGCCAGCAGGCTGAGGCTTACTAAGGTGCTGACACTTGTGTGCTGTGTTTGTCACAGTGTGGCGTGCTCTCGGTGTGTTGAGAGAGTGCATTACTCCTCAGGACATTGGTGCCCCAGAAGTAACCCACGCTGCTTTGCAGACTGAAAGTGACGCCCAGATGAGCAGAGCCAGGAATGTGTGTTCTCTGGTGGGAATGGTCTGCCAAGAGACATGAGCTGTGTTGTGCTCACGTTGCTGATTTTGTAGGCACTGTTAACATGATGTTACTTCTGCTGATGAATTTCAGCTTATAGCTCTTATGAACATGTAGGGACAGAAGGAAAAGTGCCCGTGTCCATTCATCCCAGGAAGAGAGGGACTGCACTGATAGTGTGAGCCCAGTGCAGCGTGGGAACGGCCTCATTTCTGATGCAGCTGGAACACCGTACACCTCAGGAATTACTCCTGTGTGAAGCAGAAGGCTACGTTCTAGTGCGGCTGGAGTTCTCGTGTGTGTGTGCATGTGCGTGCGCGCATGTGTGTGCATGTGCACGTGTGCACGGCCATGCTTGTGCTGGCTTAGCTCAAAAGACATTTCTGGAGCACCACTGAGAAGTCGTGTGCGACTGGACCGGGTCATTGCTCAGTGGTCAGTTCTCTTGTTTCAGGCTTGGCAACTTGCAGAAACCAAAATGGCAATTGAGACCTTTTAAAACTAGTAAATCATGAATTACAGAAAAAGGAACTCTATTCTTCAGAAAATTGGTATTACCACACTTTTCAGTGTAAATTTATAGACTCGAGAATGTAAAAGATTTTATGTACAAATCTGTGTACGCATTGAAAAGCATTTTTCTTGGAAGGCACCCAACCCACGTCATAATTGTACATTGTGTTAATTTCTTATCAGAATAAATTATATTGGCCTATTAAATAAAGTCAGATAATTCAAATTCATTTGCTTTCATGTGATTTCTCTTTCCCTAAATATCAATATTTTTTTTAATGGAAGATGGATAGAAAGGCAAAGGGTTTCCATCTGTTGGTTCATTCCCCCAAATGCCTGTCAAAGCTGGGACTGCACAAGGCTGACGCCAGGAGGCTGGAACTCCATCTCAGGCTCCCAAGGGGTGGCAGTACTAGACTGGTACTTGATCTAGCTTCCTAGATGCATCGGCAGGTTGCTGGATCAGAAGCATTCTGTGAAGGTATATGGGTATTCCGAGAGGCAAACTTAACCCACGGTGACAGCACCCGCCCCTTAATCCCAGCATTTTGTGTTTTAGGGTTTGGATGTAACTATTAGGGAATTGTTTCTAGCCTGGCTTTAGGGCATTATGCAGTGTCTGGTAAGGAGAGAAGACGTCCTGAAATGGGAAAGTGCCGCTCTTTTTGTAGTTTGGTCATTGAATTTGGGCTTTGGGTTTTAATTAAAATTTGGGAAAGATTGGGTTTGAATTAAGTGGTAGTAAGGCAAAGTTCATTGGTATTCTTCAATGAGTGATTCAGTCTATTGCTGGAAAAAGGGTTGATTTTTAAGACCAGTGATGAATTGTGGCTTAAAAGCCCATCTCTGATCTGGACAGAACTTGACTCTCAATTGTTCCGTTATTGTCCTAGACGAGTTAGGGTTAGGATCTCCGCGTCTTGGTCTGTGAGGCGTAGACCGTAGTCGTCTTTCATAGGTGCTGTATGAACTCCACTGATTCAGGTGTTGCTGAAGTGCCCAGGCAAAGAGACGCAGTTTCTGCTGTCATGGAGTTTCCATGGAATAACCAAGATACAGTCTGGTTAGAACCTAGGAGAAAATGAACCAGGTTATAGAGAAAGCTTGCCCAAGTGCCTTTGGAGGAGTAGAGAGAGCAGTCTTGAATCTGACTCCTTGAGATGTGAGGTTGACAACTGAAACCTCTTCGTAAAAATGAAGAAGTTAATGCCTCTAATAGGAATGTGTGCGCATGCACACACACAGACTCACTGAGTAGTCTGGCTCCAGACAGAGTCTGACTGTTTCCAGTATTAACAACCTTCTCAGAGTGCATATAACGGAAGTTCAAAATTTTGAACAGCCTAGTTCCCCATCTTATGGATTGTGGGATAGGGTCCAGCACTCCATCTGTTTTTAGAAAGTTTGTCTGAGTGGCGGAATGACAAGGACATAGAGAAATGTTGCCTTTGCTGGTTCACTCCCCACATGGCTGCGACACGAAGGTCTGGCCCAGGCTGAAGCCCGGAGCCTGAAACTCTAGGTGTCCGTCGTGAGGAGCAAAGACCCAAGGACTTGAGCCACCATCCACAGCCTCCCGACAGCGTTTGCAGGAAGCTGGAGCTGGGAGCAGAGCCGGGCTGCACACCCAGGGATGTGGGGTGTGGTGACTCACAAGGCCTGACCCGGCATGCTTTAGCAAACTCCGCTTCCTTCTGAGGTAGCTTAAGTTTGAGAACCATGGGTTTTTCAGAGTGGGCAGCACGTTTATAAAGACTTGGAATGTTTTTAAAACTTAGAGTCCTAGAGAGTCTCACTTAACTGGTGAATGCAAGTTGGGCATGAAAATCTTCAGAAAGTGCCCCCTTGTGTTTCCAATGTACAACTGGGGCCGAAAAAACCACTGGGTTAGAAAGGCAAGAAAATTCAAAGTCAAAGTAAAAAGGAGCCCGGTGTCTAAATGACACACCAGTTTTGCATATGAAACTGCGTGCAGGCTCAGTTGGCAGCACATTTTGCATTCTGGCCTGCTATCAGCTTAGCAAGTGACCAGGAGAGTCCTGGCTGGGCTAATGGACACAGCAGGGGAGCCCCAGTGTGGGCTGCCTCTGGGCTGCGTCCCCTATTTAAATAGACAATCAGATTTCCCTGCACACTTGGGCTGCTAATTGCACACCTTCCGAGAGCGACAGCCCTTGCAGGTGTAAGTAGTTAGGATCTCTTTAACTCTGCTCGCTGATGCCTGCCATTCTCTGCTTCCTACCAATCACGGGCAAATTGCTCGTGATTACATATTGGACTAAGAAACCATTTTACAAATTATTCCTTGTTAAGAGCTTAAAACAAAGACATATAAAATAGAAGCATAGATAAAAAAATACTATCTGCTAGCTCCACCAAATGCTTAAAATAGGCATGCAGGAGTCCCCGCTCCTACCAGCAGATTTGAAGGACGCATTCGCAGGAGAGCCCCAGAACTGAGAGAAAGCACAATGCCGAGATCCCTGAATGAGCAGTGCTTAAATTCTATTGAAGCAAGCTAACAATGTGGAGACCTCAGACTGTAGTTCAGTAGGAAGCTGTGGCCATCTAGAAGATGCCATTTCTGTCTGATTTGAGCTTTGAGCTATCTTGTTTTCTTCATGGGGATGAGGTAGGGGTGAGGTGGTTTAGAGAAACAGATATTTGTTCTTCCTTTCCATAAATCCCCCCCCCCCAAGGCAGGTGGCTAGCCTCTGTAGTATCCTTCGTCCGCTGTCCCAGCGCCTGCTCCCGCGCTGCCACCAGATGGCGCAGGTTTGCTTTCGAGGAAAGCTGCAGAAGTGAAAGAGCAAGGTTTAACATCCTTGTTTTGAATCCTTTGTTAGTCTTGTGACCTTGGACAAGCCACAGTCTCCCCTTCTGTAAAGTAGGAATTGATGAAAATCATTTACGAGGGTGATTGTGAGGATTAAATATGATGACACGTGCTAAGACCTTGCATAGCATCAGGCATACTGTTGCTACTTAATAATTGTTCTCTTTTAAAAGATGTTTTGGTAACTACTGGCTTTAAAAATATATATTTATTTATTTTATTTGAAATGCAGCATTATATAGAGAGGAGATGAGAGAGAGAGAGACAATCTTTCATCTACAGGTTCACTTCCCAAATGACCCTAACAGCTAGAGCCGGGCCAGGAGGAGCCGGAAGCCAGGAGCTTCTTCTAGGTCTCTCATGTGAGTGCAGCGGCTCACTGCCTTGGGCCATCCTCCACTGCCTTTCCAGGCTGTAAGCACAGAGCTAGGTCAGAAGCAGAGAAGCCTAGATTTGAACCAGCACTCATAGGGGATGCTGGTGCTGCAGGTGGAGACTTAACCTCCCATGCCATGGTGCTGGCTCCTGCCTGTCTCGTTTCTTACTCATCCAATAAGTTGACATTTATTGCTCCATCTTTCTGTGTCATGGCTGGTAAAAAGTTTGTTCTAAACCTCCTACAGCATGGCAGTGTCTACACACACACACACACACACACACACACACACACACAGGCTTACAACACATATCTTCCCTAGTTCCAACTGACCCAAGTTACTCTTCTTCCAGTACCTTTTGTGGGCAAAGGTGCAATCTGAAGGGATAAAACCAAATCGAGTCAGAGCAGCAGCAGCAGGAACAAGGCACTGTGAGGATGCTCAGGTCACATTTCTCGTCCGTTTCTCTCTTCAAAATGACATTACAATGGAAACATTTGGTCAGTGACTGCTGGTTAGGCTGCACAGGTGTTTTGCGTATATTCTGAGGAAGGCTAAACACAGTGGGGTATTGATTTGGCAGGTGGAGAATAAACACAGAATCAAGCCAGGCATTGTTTGGAAACCCACAGTCCCACCTAGTTTTCTGCATTTCCAGCCTGTGGTGTTCTGAGACAGCCCAAGGGACAGGAGGCTTGTAAGCTGGCCGGGGGAGTGCTGACCCCGTTAAGGAGAGTAGGATCTGAACGTGCTTTCTTACCAGCAGAAGCAGTCACACCCAGCAAGTCTTATTACAGGAGGCAGCTCAGGTTGTAGTGAGGAGAGCCACTGCCCCTTGTTAGCCCTGCCCGCTGCAGTTGAGGTATGTGCTTCCCATGTCTGTGAACGGGCACTATGAGGATGTGCCAAACCAGTGCTGTGGACTCAGCGATGAGCAGAGGGGCCTCATGGACACTAACACCCAACTCTGCTTCCTCCCCACAGAATGTCAGCTCGGGCTCTGGCTTTCTCCTCCCAGGGAAACCTGTTCCTTTGCAGCAAAGGTTGTCATTTCTGATCCAGTCAATGCTACCCTCCTGAATAGAGCATGAGGAGAGCTTTTTACCTGGAAACACCTGTTTTTTTTTTTAATATATTTTTCAAAGATTTATTTATTTTTACTGGAAAGGTAGATTTACAGAGAGAAGGGGAGACAGAGAGAAAAATCTTCCGTCCATAGATTTACTCTCCAAATGGCTGTGGAGTTAAGCCTGTCTGAAGCCAGGAACCAAGAGCCTCCTCTAGGTCTCTCATGCGGGTACAAGGTCCAAAGGCTTTGGGTCATCCTCAGCTGCTTTCCCAGGCCACAGCAGGGAGCTGGATGGGAACTGGGGCAGTCAGGACACGAACTTGCACCCATATGGGATCCCAACACTTGAAGGGGGAGGACAGCCAATCAAGGCGTTAGAAAAGGCCCATGGGAACACGTTGATAATGGGAATGCTTGGTCTGTGCTGACACTCAAGAGCAGACAATCGCAAGGGAGTGTGTCTATGCTGAACCAAGCTGGAGAAGGGCCGGGGCAGGTGAATGGAGGTAGAATGTTTGGAGAAGTTTGCATGAACATAAAAGTAAAGGTCTTTTCCGCTGTTAGCAGGAGCTGGAGAACTGGGTGGAGGCTCTCTTCCATCCTCTCCACTCCCCTTCTCATCCCGCTTCCATTTCTGACCTATAGCTCAGTGCCATGGAGCATGAACTCTGTGGCTCATCCAACTCCTTGCAATGTGGGGCCTTTGATGTCCTCTTCCTTCTTTAATTTTCTTTGTTTTTTTTTATGTTCTTTCTTTTATTTTTATTGGAAAGGCAGATTTACAGAGAGGAGATAAAGAGAAAATTTTCCATCGCTGGCTCCCTCCTCAAGTGGCCACAATAGCTGGAGCTGCTAAAATCCAAAGCAAGGAGCCAGGAGCCTCTTCCAGGTCTTCTACATGGGTGCAGGGTCCCAAGGCTATGGGCCGTTCTCCACTGCTTTCTTAGACCACAAGCAGGGAGCTGGATGGGAAGTAAAGCAGCTGGGATATGAACTGGTGTCCATATGGGATCCCAATGTGTACAAGGCGAGGACTTTAGCCTCTAGGCTACCACGGCAGGCCCTCTTTAGTTTTCATGGTTGGCCACAAACAATCCAAGATAAGACTCGCGAAGACTAAGAAGACCCATTGGATTGATATATCCCGCAGGTGCTGCCAAAGAGTGTGCAGGATTGTTGGCTACTCAGAAATCCAAGCAGTTGTTGGGCACTCAGTGGGAAAAGAATCTTCCATGTGAGTGATGACCATCTCCCGGTGATGACCATCTCCCAGTGATGAAGATGATGAATTCATTTTCAAGCTTCTTTGAAAACACCAAGCAATCAAATCAGTTGTGAAAAGGAGAGATTCCCTACATCCTTTGCTGGGATTTTCGTCTATCCCCAGGAGCACAAGCAGAAAAGGATCTACTTTCTGAAACATGCATGCCCTTTTAGTTCCCTGGGGATTGACCCCTGACAGCCATTGGCATTCACCGTTCAGCTACAGCATTGGCTTGGTCAAACCGCCACAGCTGGCTGGCTTTGCCATCACAGAGGCGCAAGCGCAGGTCTCTGCGGTTTCCTTGCATCACAGCTTCCAGGCATTTCCCAGAAAGAACGTGGACAATCATCCCATTCTGAAAAGAATAAAGGAAAAAGGAAATTAAACCAGTCCCTCACCATTAGTTAGCGAGGAATGTTATCTGAGATCTGTGCTAATAGCTAACAGAATTATTGAGGTGGTACCTGGGAAGAAATCGTAGTATTTTGGTTAATATCAAATACAATTTAGGTAGTTCTAAAATTTAGAGGGCATAATTAACACAATTTTCTTTACCAATAGTTGTATAATTATGCCATTGCTTAGAATATTTCAGACAGTATAATTCCAAGAAATATAGTATGTTGAGACTTACTATTATATTTGTGACATGCTTGTTACCATTTGTAAATCTGTGTTTTTGAAAGATTTAATCAGAGTTGATATCAAGGCATAGTATGTGAATCTGGCTGTGTTGCTGGCATCCCTTGTAGGCACTGGTTTGAGTCGTGGATGCTCCTTATTTCATCCAGCTCCATGCTAACGGTTTGGGGAAAGACCCACACGGTAACGGGGAGCTCTATGTTTTTGTTTTTGTTTTGTGTGTGTGTGTGTGTGTGTGTGTGTGTGTGTGTGTGTGTGTGTGTGTTTGGTAGGAGAGGCATGGGGGAAGATTTTGCAATGCTCTTCAAATCACACCATCAGCTGTGATGTGATTACTCCTGGGCTGTGTTCCATTTGAGCAAATAAACGTTGAAAAGAGGGCCCACTCTGCCTTCTACCACAATCAAGGCCAGAGCTATACATAAATATGACAAGTCAGGGTGTTGTGGGCTGCTGTTGGCCCAACTTCATTCTCTCTCCAAGGGTTTTGTACCCAGCCATGAAGTTTAGCCTCTGAGGGCCAGGCTGGTGTGCTGAGGCCTGGGCCCCTGGGGAGAGCCCAGGATACTGTGCGGCCAGGAGTTCATCCCTAACCACCCCGCTCACCTCCTGCAGGTCCCAGTGCTGCTGATGGACGGCAGGGCCTTCCCCGGTGCAGTTCTGCAGGATCACCTGCTCTCGCCTGACATCCAGGCACAGGTGCCGCGGACTGTGCAGGTGGATCTCCTTTCTGCCCGTGTGCTCCCAGTGCTGGATGGAGAGAATGACTGTTAGTGCAGCAAGAAAGGCCTCCCTCCCCGCCCCACCACCCCAAGGCCAGGAGAACTCCGGAGGCTGAACTTCTGGATTCTGTGGAGTCTGCAAGGTCACAGACCTGCAGCTGGGCTGGCCCTGGCCTCTGCAGTCCCCGCCTCCTAGTTGTGCGCTCTGCTGTGTATTTGGGGAGAGCTGTAGGAAAGGCGGGTGGGCGTGGGACCATTCTGAAGCACCAGAGTGATTGCTTCCTGGCGGGGACAGGACCAGGCCCCGGGATGAGCTGGATCCTGTTTTCAGCCCACAGTCCAAACCCCGGGCCGCTGAACTTGACAGAATCATAGACACACACCTGATAGAAGGGCAGGACCACACCCTGCGGCTTTATTTTCAGTTAACCTTTGATTTTCCTTTCCTTCTTATTCACTCAGTTAAAGCAAGCAGGAAAAGGCAGCACCTTGATTTCCACCCAGCAGATCCTGTTCCTTAAGGAGCCTTAAGGAAGAGCTTTCAACTGTCTAGCTCCTAACATCACTGGGTGCTGGCCTCCCTGCGCTTTTCTCTCTTAACAGGGAAAGTTTGGATGATTTCCTCCCTGCCCTAGGATTCCCTCCTCATCTCTGCATACATCTATTCCAGATGTGTGTGGGTTTGCCTCCTGGTGTGCTCCGGGAGGCTGGCACAGGGCCTCCTTCCCTAGGCATCCTCAGGCCCAGGCCTGATCCCTGGGTGGCAAAGCTGGCCTCAGTTCCAACCATGGCCTTGGTTAGCCCTCTCTGAGGGGTAGAGGGACTCCAGACCCTCCAAGAGGGCCCATCCTCTGGCCCAGACTCTGGGCCTCACTCAATGCATCTAATACTTTGTTTTTGTTCGAGGCCTTTGGGATCTGTTGGCTTAACACAAAGGCCCCTATCATAGCCTGAATGGGAAGCTGCTGGGTAACAGACTAACACTGCAGGTTAGCTACGCAGGTGGCAGCACTGATGGAAGCTTTCTGCCACCCTGGACAGTGAGTCTCATAGAAGAATATTTTGAGGAGGAGAAATACCCTAAGCTCTACAGAGATCTTTCTGGTGCTCAAGGGCCCCCCATGCTGCTGGAACAATCCTGCAGCATCCTCACCCTTCTCCTGACTCAATTACCATCTTCCTCTTTCCTGAGATGCTTGAGTCCCATCTGCATCCCGGAAGTGTCATTGGCAACACTGGGGCTAGCGACTTGAAACCTAACTTGGCTCAGTTATTGGAGGGAGCAGGATGTCAAGGAATCTAGACAGACCCCCTTAAAACCCCTCTCTGCTGACAGAATGATGTAAGCCACCTGGAAGTCTTTCTGGGCTCTTATCCACATTGAAAAGTCTGACCACCCACCTGCTGCCGGCTGTCACTGCAAGGCGCCAGCACCATGGGACAGCCCATAATGTCACCCTCTGCCAGGCAGTCTGCACAGAAGCCGAGGCCAGTGTTGTGGAGCTGAAAATAGGCATGGACATGGCTGTGAACCCCATGTCCACTGCAGCAACACCTTGGGACTCCTCCTCTTCTCCTCCCCCATTCTTTTCTGGAATGGGGCTCAAGGTGAATCACTCAGGCCTCTTGAAGGACACAGGCCCCACCTGCCCAGGTGAGTGGTCCTGGGATGGACTATTAGAAAACCCAACCTCCTTCCTCAAACTGGCACTGAGGTGCCCAAAAGCCATTAAAGCCTTTGAGGTCCTGCTGAGCCTGAGGCTGCTGGCCGGGGTCAGGGAAGTGCATTGCACATGTAATTCTTGCTTTGGGAAGGTTTTGCGCCCCTTCCTTCGTCCCCCTCTTCCTGGACCATGCCTTACCTTTCCAGAGAACCTGGGCCTGGGTCCCGACGGATACAGCTCCGGATAGACATTGGCCAGGAACCAGTGGAATGTCCGACAGCCCAGTCTCCTTTGCAGCTGTAAGCGCTCTGGGCAGAGGAGTTTCTCAGCCTGGGGCAGGGGGCGGGCGAGAAGGCCTCGGGCACTAAGAGCAGGTTTGTTTTAGCCTGAAGTCCTTGAGGAGGAGGCTAAGGGGGATCAGGACTGAGTTGCCAAGACTGAAATTCCCAGGGCTGCAGACAGGAGAAAGGAGGGCTTGGAAGAGACTAGAGAATGGTGGGGGGAGTGGCAAATGGGGAGGGTGGAAGGAGAAATCCCTGAGCCTATGGAACTGTATCATGAAAAATAAAGAATTAAAAAAATAAGACTGTCAGATGATCTCACTACTTTCCCACAAACCCCTGGATCCTGAATATGCAGATACCACATCTGTGCTAGGATGACTTTAATATGGACCAGGAGAAACCGAGCTGTTGCCCCTAGTTGGGAGTGGTGCAGACTTGCCGTGAGTATCATGGGGGTGGCCAAGATGGTGTCGCCAGGGAAACTGGGGACTGGGGGTCCAAGTAACCCAGCATCTCCATGTTACTCCACAAGACCTGAGCCAAAGGCAGCTGGCCCAGGGATGATGCACTACTTGTAATAGGTCAAATGTTTATTTTTCTGTAGCATTTGTGTTTCATGGCTGGGATCATTTTCTGGCCTGGAGCACTTTGCTCAGGGCTCCCAGGAGACCTTGATCTTCAGTGGCATGGTAAGGAATTGCACCCCAGGGATGTCACCCCGTTGCCATCATGAGGCTCCTAGCCAAGGCCAACTGTGAGATCTGGGGTGGAGGAGAGGCTAAGAGAAGCACTAACAGTCCCACCCGGTTGAGGTGCCACTCAACAGTTTTCAGCTTACAGGAAGCTCAAGCCAGAAACTGAGCTTTGCTGGGCCCAGTATCCACACCGCCCCCGCGCCTCCCGACTGCCTCCTTACCTGGCTCAGGGAGGAGGCCTCCGGACTGTGCCTGTAGAAGGTCTCTTTGAACGACCCCAGCCAAGTCTCAGCAAGGCAGATCTTGCTTCGCAGCATGGCCTCCTGGTCGACCAGGGAGTGGGCCTCCCAGTCTTGGTAGACATGGCCCACGCGGGAGCAGGGAAGGATCTCAACCGAGCCACCACAGAGCCAGGCCTGCCATGAGATAGGGAGAGAAACTGCCCTGCAGTCCACCTCTACCACAGCAGTGCCAAGAAAGAGATCCTGCCGTGAGGGGCTGACCACACCCACGGAACAGTCAAGAAGATCAAAGTGCTCTGGGTGTCCAGTTCTGGCCCTTCCGGACAGTGAAGGGGCCAGTAGGAAACCTGCGGCAGTGCTTCAGTTTGGAATCAAAGGGGTGACCAGATGTGCTATGCTTACAACACCTGCTCCGATCTGCCACTCTGCTCTCCTCGAGGCTCCCTTAGTGATAGAGGTGTCCCTGGCAGCCTATGGCAGTCCGTTCTGATGCCCAACAGATTATCAGTTATTAGGTGAGTGCTCACTAAGTTGCCCGGACCAAGCTACTCTCTACACAGAGATATTGAGAACTTGTTTTGGCCTGTGGGCACTATGAAAAAAAAAAAATGACCGAGACACGAAGGGTGCTACAAATGGGGACTGGATAAGAATGTCTGAAATCTGTGCACCAAGAGGTGGATGACTGTTAGGAGGCCTCTCCTGCTAGCAGGTTTTGGCAGGTCAATTCATGAGAGAGGCTGGTTATGGTTCAAGGTAGGGTTCACAGGGGGTGAGAAAGGGAAGGAGAGAGGCAGGTGGACCATGGCAAGGACTTCCTAACTCCCACAACCTCACCCATGACCTCCCCTGTGACTTCCCTGGGTCTGGGACATACCTTGAAAGACAGTTCGAGGTTTTCACCATCCCAAGGTGACATGACAGTCTCATATACGCCTGTGTTTTGGAAGTAGTGTCTGTCCACGGCTACCACCTCTCTGGGTACCACAGGGCTCCTGGACAGAGAGGGGAGGAAGGCAAGGGATGGCAGCTTAGCTGGTCAGGCTGGGGTGGGGCCTTCATTTGGAGCTGCAAGGGGCTTCAGTGGGCTCTGGGATGATGGACCACGAGGCTTTCCATCGTGAACCTGGAGCAAAGCAGTGGGGTACTCTAAGAGGGAAGCATGATGGCTGCCCAGAACTTTACACTCTGCCCACAGAGTCCAGGCATCACCTGGAGCTTTCCCTACCCTCAGGCTTGAGGGCCCCTGGAGTGGTGCTTAGGAAGGAGACAGTGGTTTAAATGGGCTGCATCCTGGGACTCACCTGATAGGGCTGATGGGGGACTGGAGGGTTTTCTTCTCGTGCTCTGGCAAAGGTTCCCAGTGGAAATCCAGCTTCCAGTCCAACACCCCACGCTGCAGCTCCTTGGAGGGCTGATACTGGAGAGTCTTCCAGTCAACTGAATCTATAACAGGAGACACCACACGGCTCCTAGAGGAGACAGTAGTCTACGTTATGGGACTGGGCAAAAGGAACTTGTCTTGGCTTCACTAGAGTTCTTTATTTTATTAGAATCTAATCATGAGACTATTAACACTATGCTTCGTGCTTCCTGAAACCTCTTCCATCAAACAGGATGCCAATATGGTCCAGGAATACTTGACTCATAGATGATTATATTCAGCCGCAGCTGAGACAGTTAGCATTGGCCATGGGTTGGGGAGGGAAAATTGAGATCACACAGTTTGGTTCTAAAATCAACCCTACTTGATCCAAACCCCACCCTCTGTGGAGGTCCTTCTGTGTGATGGGTCTCCTTCAGCCCCAGAGGGGTACCCCTAAAATAATCCCAGTGGGGTAGTATTCAGGTTTTAGTTTTCCTGAGTGAGATATTGAGGTTGAGAGTAATGGTTAGTCAGGCGTGAGTGGGAACTGTTTGAGTTGGACAAGTAAGTGGGAAAGTGGCTGGCAAGGGAAGAGAAGCAGGGCAAACGTGTGTAGGTGTCTGGGAGGATGGACCTTCTCCAGCCTCGCTTCTGTGGGTCAGCTTTGATGGGAAAATCAGAGACTCCAGGTGGAAGGGCATTTTACAAAGTTCATGGAAAATGGATATTAGGAAAACACTATGTGTGGATTTCCATGTTCTTGTATAACAAAACAAACATTTCCTTTAATTTCTTTTTTTCAGTGAGATTTTTGAAGAACCCCTCTACAAACTGGAAGAGCAAGGTTTGCTAGCTCTTGGTGAGACTTTGATTACAGAATCAAATGCTTGCATTTGACAGATGTGTAATCTATGACCTAAGTAGTTCAGAGATTTCCAGTTCCCTGTCCAGGTGATGATATAGTCTTAACTAAAACTGGGAGTGAGAACTTACCCTAGTTAAGACACTGTTGTCCCGTACGGGAGTACTGCATTCAAGTCTCAATTGTGGCATCCAACTCTAACCTCCTTCCTCCTCCTAATGCAGACTCTGTGAGGTGGCAGATGATGGCTGAGTAACTGGGTGCTAGCCGCTCATGTGCGAGACCTGGGCTGACTCCCTGACCCTTGGCTCCAGCCTCCATCCAGCTCCAGTCACAGCGGGCGTTTGGGGAATGAACCAGTGGATGAGGCCTCTCTCTCCCTCTCTTTCTCTCTCTCCTGATATGTAAGTAATCAAATTTTTAAAAAATTAAGTTGTCAAACTGTCATCAAAGGCAAGGATAACTATGATATGACATGACCCTTCCTCTGCAACTTAATAGGATTTTAAGTATTTATAACTTAACAGAAAGTATGTTCTGGCTTGTTCCTTTGTAAAATAAGACATGTGGACTGGAAGATCTTCAGGTTCCCTTCCAACTCCAACTCCTGGAAGCTGCACAGGAGCAACTCTCTCTCCAGTGGTGATCATTCCTCCAGCAATGCACAAAAGCCCTGGGAGGGTGGGGGCTGGGCATTATTCCCATAATCCCCTCCCGACGCTGCAGCCCCCAAGCAAAGTGAGGTGGGGGGATTACCTGTCAGCGGCTATTCTGCTGAGGAGGGGCTCCAGCCAGCCGGGGTGGCACTCGCAGTGGGCGTCCATGAAGACCAACACATCTCCCGTGGCCCTAGCAGCCCCCAGCATTCGGGCCCCAGCAGGGCCCAGCCTCTTGTTGCTCCTGAGCAGTTTCACGCCCTCCAGCCTGGCCACGTTTTCACTGAGGGCAGACTTGAGCTGTCCTGGAATCAGCAGGGCTGTGGTCAGTGGACAGAGCGGGAAATGTCACAGAGGCGCAACAGGTAGGCTGGGAGTGGCCATCGCTCTGCCCGGTCATCTGTTTGTTTGTTTGTCTTGTGGACCCTTGTAAGCACAAAAAGATCCTGAGATTCAAGGATCTTATCACAGTGGGATTGTTGCTATGGTGACCAGTGTTTCTTTAGTTTGTCTGTGCTCTGGGTCTAGGCAGGCACACAGAGAGGGGTAAATGGAGCCACTGCGCGCCCTGGCTGTGATGGCCTGCGGGCGGCTCTGAGTGCGCTGCAGGCTGGCACTTCCCTGGAGACAACTCCCTCGCTGCCCAGCAGAACCCAGTGATCCGAGAGTGGGGAGTGACCACAGGTGTGTTCTCAGGAGGACCCCGTCTCAATGCAGGCTTGGGGATATGTGAGCACTTATACCAGCCGGCCCAGCCGGTCCTGCACCTGTCCTGAGTCCTGCCAATTGCCTAGCCACATGCTCACTCACAGAGCCTTTGGCTGGCTGGTTCCACCCACTTGTGTGACCAGGCTGTGCAGATTCCCGACATCAGGACCCTGGACAGAGCTAACAGAGCCCCCTAGCCATGCATGCTATCTCTCCCCCAGAACCGTGCTAAGTGTTCAGCTTGCTTCCACACACTCTGATCTCCAACTCTGAGGCTGTGAGGCTGAGCTGGAAATGCATGCCTCAGTCCTTGAGTTGAATTGTAGAATCTTCTTGAAGTGAGTTTCCTGTTGGTTTACTGCTGATGAATGTAAAGGTCTTGTCCATAGTTCTAGGAGCCCCTGAGCCCTCACGAGGGCTCTCACTTGTGGCTTCCCCTTCTCTGCCTTGCTTCCCCACTGACTTATGGGTCTCCCCGGGACCCGGAGCGCCACCTCATGGGTGGAAGACTTGGCCTAAACTCCATCCCTTTGCACCACCAACACCTGTGTGGAGCCTGGCCCGAGCCCACAGCTACCTTGCTGGCTAAGGTCATCCACCAGAATGATCTCCTTCAGGAGGGCCCGGGGCGCCGTGCCCAGGATGCTGTGCACAGTCCTCAGGAGGGTGGCCCAGTCCTCGTCGTGGAAGCAGAGGATGATGCTGGCCGAGGGCAGGCTGTCCCCTGGGTGCTGCTGCAGACACCTGCAAGGAAGAGATCTAGGAGAAGGGAAGGGCCACCAGACGCACTCCACCTCTCCCTGCCTCTCCAGCAGGGCTCTCCTCCTAGCTCCACAGCTCTCTCCCTGGGGTTTCTTACAATTTCCATTTCAAGAGACCCCATCCTGCCTGTGGCAATTCACCTAGCACGCCCCATACCTCAGTTCCCAGGAGTGACCTGCCTACTTCATCCAGCCGCCTCCCAGGACAGCTGTCCCAGTCTGTAGAATGAGGAAAACTGACATTGTCTGCCAACCTCATGACAGTGTTGTGATGCTTAAGGGTTGTGAGCACTTTGTTGTAAGTCCTGTGAACATGAATCACTGTCCATGCAAGGACAGGGACATTGTGGAGAGGTGTACCCTGCATCCTAGTGCAGCCCAGGTTGTGCACACATGGGGTGCTATCAGGGCTTTATTGTCATAACAGTAGAAGGGACAGGTCTGCGTGTCTGTGAGTGCCGACAACATGTCAGAGGTGCTAGGCCCTGTGTTCACCTTGTCGCACACTCATTGGGTCTGTGGTCTGGGTGATCTTAGCCCCGCTGTGCACATGAGGAAACTGGGACTCTGAGCTCAACTGGCTGGGTGTATCTTGATCATTCAGTGTTGGACCTGCCTTCTTTGTTACCAGGAGAGAATTTCACTGTCCCAGCTTGCACATGTCTGTGGTACAAATGTCTGGGAGTCCATACCCCTGACCTTGCCTTCCGTCTTCTGAGAAAAAAAAAAGGACTTGGGGCTTTGGAGTCATACCCACCCAGCCCTTATCCTGACTGTGCCATTTACAGCCCCTAATCAGCCAGCTCAGGGTGCTTAATGCCCTTCTCCAGGGCAAGGGTGTGGCCTGGACTGTGAGGGCTAGTCCTGGCCCAGGAGCCACTCCACACACCGGCCTTACAGCTCCAGATGCCAAGGTCAGAAGGAGCCAGGCTCTTGTATTTATATGTAGACATGTGCTCTCTCTTTATAAGCAAGGCCAGAATCCCCCATGAACTTGGAATACGTGTTTGGATGCTGATCCAAAGAGAATGAGTCATCACCTTGTGCCAGATGGCCTGGCTGGCTGGAGTGCTCACCCTCCACCCACCCTCTGCTTGCCTGGCTGGAGTAGAGAGATTTCTGCCGGTGTCCTAAAGATGTTTGGGGGTTACTGGCTCCCGATCCCTCCTCCCCACTCAGCGCAAGCTCCCCATTCAGCAGTTTCTAGCTTGGCTTTGAGCCCACAGCCCTAGAAGACTAGCTCCTGGACAGCATTCCTCAGTGTCCCCCAAGCTCCTTAAGTTGAATATGAAGCTCGCTCACCTTCTTACTTCTAATAGTTGTAAAATAAATGTTTGCTCAGGGGACAAAGGAAGGCTCTGGTCCTATTTACAAGTAGTGTATAAGGCTGCTCACAGTGCTACCACACCCATCAACTGCTGGTCCCAAGATGAGCCCTGCCCCCTCCTGCAGAGGCGAGCTGGGTTGCATAGAGCTCTGGGCAGAAGTTGGTAAGTGGTGGGGCTCCTGCGTGTTCTAGACCTGGTAGGAAAACAGCAGTGCCGTGCAGGGCTTGCACACAGAAGATGTCTCATATATGTTCTTTCTCTTCTGTGTTGTATTTCTGTGCGTTTGGAAAGGGGTGGGAGAGGAAGGGAAGGGAGTGGGGGGTGGCTGCCTCGATTTGATGGCCAGCAACTACCTGTAGGCAGGAGAGGGAGCCTGGGAGCGTTGCCCTGGCTGCACGTGCTGGAATGGACAGCAGGGGGCGCTGCACACCGCCGCACAGAGCCAGCAGGAGGTTATGGGAACCTGGAGCTGGGGGCCTGCCCTCTGCTTCTGGTGAAGGAACTTTCAGTCAGGCCGTGCACTGCAAGACAAGCTGATTATCTGGCTGGAAGAAGTATCTGCTGAAGGACCATGAGTGCACACACATACAGGTTCACATCAAACACACATGGTACAACATGCACCTCAGCTTGCTCCACATAGCAGCACACACACATCACACCACACATGACACATACAACAAACATGCAAGCATACAAGGACACACAAACGTGGTGTGATGAGCACACAGTACTTGTGTCTAGACAGCACACCAACATACCCCATACAGCAAAACCAATCCACACTTCTATTACACACACACCACACCCATGTACGTCATAGTACATGCATAACACACTTGAACCAGTACACACATCTCACTCATAACAAAACAGGACACGTGCAATCTACGCACCAGCAGAGCATGCATGTGCACAAAGTCACATATAATCCATGTGCAAGCTGCAAATGTCACATTGCAGCATACATATGCACCGTGCATGTGCTGGTTACTCCAGTGCACCACAGACGTGACATACGCCTGTGTCACCTGCTTCCTGCATGTGCACCAACACCACGCCCTAAATACCTACACACAGCACGTCTCATAAACAAATGTATTTTCAGCAGGCACACAGCGCACAGAAAACCATCAACAGCACGCATACAGTGTCAGTAAGCAACAGTGTTCGCAAAGCACACTGTGTATACTACACACCCCTGCCCAAGCACACACACCAAGCACTCATGGGTGTGCTTGTGTACTGCACACTTGCGCTACGCAGTCACACACAGCCCTATGTTAGTCAGACACCTTCTTGTTGGAGCTAATGTTTCTTGTTGGTAAAACGAGGGTACTCACTTTGGTTCTAAGCCACTAAAGAAGTGGGTGAGAAGAGTTTGACAAGTGCATGTCTGTTCCTTCATTCAGTGATCATTTCTGTGCTGTCCTGGTCACTCAGGTGGACAACCCAGATTCAATGCCAACCTTCTCTGGGGTTCATAGCATGGCAAGGGACAGCCAAACACATCCTGGACCATTTACTTGACAGATTCCAGGGTGCCAATGAATGGGGTGGGAGTTCCTGCAGTCAGAGTCTCAGAGCTGGGATTAGGATGAGACAAGCAAGGGTGCTGGGGTGCACAGCTTGGGGTGCTGAGCCTGCCTGTGCACGCTCTGGCACATGGGTGACTGGCTGGCCAGGCTGAGAGGAGCCAGGGCAAAGGCCGGAAGAGAAGAGGACGCTGCCCTGCTCCCAGCTGCGGTTCCACACAGATCCTCCTTCCTTCAGGAGTGGAGTATGAGTTTGCTTTCTAGGAAACCTGCGTGCGCTCTGCAACCTCGATCAGCCCTGACAAAGCAGCTGTGTCAGTTCCTGGATGCAGCTTAGCAGCCTCCCTTGCCTGAGTGAGGGTGTGTAGGGCGAGACCACCACCTCCCTGGGCACAGCTCTGCAGCCTCCTGGGGCTGTCCCTGCACCACACCCGGCCAGGGTAAGCTGTAAACAGTGCTGCATGCTACCCCAGGCCAGGGAACATGCTCCAAGATCTGGTGGACCAAGCAAGGGAGCAGAGGGAGTGCTCTGGGGATACCCAAACTTTAATGTCTGAATTCACTCCCTGCTTCAGCACCTGCCAGCTCTGAGACTGTGGGCAAGCCACTTGTGCTCTGTGAAGGAGGTATGAGGCCAAGACACGCACCCATCCCACAGAGTAGCGAGGGCTTCAGAGGTGACACTTGAGGAATTCTTGCCAACACCAATCCCCACAGCACAGCAATGCAGAAGTCAGTGTTAGAATTGGATGAGGCCCTGCGGGGGTACCTGCTCCACCCTATTACAACGCAGGCACAGGGGACTTGTACCCACAGTGGGGAGGAGCAGGAAGAGTGCCTCACATTTCCAGCTCCAGTGCCTTTTACCCCATGCCAGGTTGGTAGGGAGTTGTTGAATACAGAGCCCTGGACCCTGGCTCTGCACTGCTAACAGGTGCCAGCAGCACTGCCCTTGGGGCAGGGAGGAGATATAGGGTGGGTACATTGCTGCCCTAACACCAGGCAAGCAAAGGAAAAAAAAAGGGCCTTACTTACAGTGGGTGTCGCACCTCAGGTAGGGGCCTCTGCACCTGCAGGTGCACATTGAAGTCCAGGCCAAGTGGGGTTGGTGCCTCTGCTTCAGACAGCTCCCCGTCCTCCTCCTCGGCTGCCCAGTCTCTCTCTGGGGCATCCTCGTCTTGCCTCCTGCGAGACTGCTTGATGAGCCGGTAGCTGCCACTTCTTCTGCCCCAGCTCCGGTCCCTTCTGGCCCTGGGCGAGGCCACGGCTACCAGCAGCTCATCCTCCCGCAGGGAGATGTACGCTGGCAGGCTCTCTAGGGGGCTGTACTCCTCCCCCTGTGCCTCAGCTTCCAGCACCCACTCCTGGGAGTCCCCAAAGTCCAGGTGGTCTCTGGCTGCAGCATGGCTATGCTGGCCGGCCTTGGCAGTACCAGTTTGATGGGAGGTGTGTGGGGCAGGGTGCCGCATCACCACCATCACCAACACACAGCCCAACACCAGGAAGAGCAGGAGGAATTGTAGTCGGCGGGTCCTGTGCTGCTTCCTCAGGAGCATGATGCTGGGACTCGCCAAGTGCAACAGGTCATGTTCAAGTTCACGGGCTTGCCCCTCTGCTTCAAGCTCGCAGCACGACCCAAGTTGCTTGTACCACCTGAAGGCCTTTACCTGTCTCTTACTCTGCCCCTTTCCCCTCCTGCATGGCGTTGGTCAGCAGCGAGTGTGGGACCTGCTTCCACCTGCCACCAGAAATCTCCAGGACCCAAGTCCATCTGCGCCCCATCCCCCCGCCGCCAACCGGTTCTTTCTAAGTGGGTTTCTGTGATGGCATCCTGAAGACCCTCGGACAAAGATTCCGCATACAGCAGCACGCTGCCCTCTCGCCCTGCTGCTCTCTTTGGGAAACCAGTGATGACTTGGTTCTGTTCAGGTGTGTGGTCCAGTAGTTTCCTTTCCCTCTGGCTGCTGGGAGACGTCCAGAAGAACTGGTAGCATCCCAGGCGAGCAGGACTCACATCTGTCCTTCTTTGGACACCTCAAGTCAGGTCTGATCAACAGATGCAAAGCCGGCAAGGCACTGCCTGATTTCCTTTCACACATACTCTGCTCAGCCCAGAGCCCCGTGCCAGACCGAGCCTGAGCCGAGCCAAGCCCCGCTCCTGGTCCTAATGCCCTCAGTGTTCTCAGGCTCTGCACAACCCAGCAGCGTCGCTGCTGCGACTGGATCACAACAGAAACAGCCCAGGAGCTGAGATCTGGATCTCATTGGGAGGAAGAATTCCTTCCCTGGAGAGAGTCAAGGGAATTCGCCCTAGTCCAGAAAGGCTGTGTGTGGGACACAGCCAACTGTCTGTGCACACCCAGGCTACCCCGGGTGATCTGCCAAGCTAGCTCAAACTCCCTGTGCCTTGCTGGGGACCACAGATGCTGTCCTTCTGGAAGTGAGGCTGCTGAAGTGCCCTCTGGAAAGTGCAAGGTCAGGGACTGGGACTAGGCCTAGTAGTGGAACTGCAGGCAGGCCTCTGCTGGGCTGCAGCTCCTACAGGTGGGCATGAGAGCCAAGGCTGGGGGCAGGCCAGGCTGGACAAGGTGGCAGCACCTGTCAGCATACGCGTGGCCTGGGTGGGTAGGTTGAGTAAAGCTCCAGCACCCGTAGGTGTATATGAGAGCTGAGGGGGATGCAGGATGAACACGGCTTGTCTCACTGTTCTCCATCCATCAGCAAAGCACATTTTTCTCAAGGGTATATGGAATAGTCTCCAGGGTAGAACATATGCATGCCATTTAAAAGCCCAATGATGATAAAAGGATTGAAATTATGACAAATACATTCCTCGGTCAAAACATAATCAAATATAAATCAATGGCATAAAGAAATTTGAGAAACCACAAATACAAAAGAATTCAGAAATATATTCATACATGAGTCAAAGAAGAGATCACATGAGAACAAAGAAAATACTTCGGAATGAATAGAAAGGAAACCACAGCACAGCAAAACTTATGGAATGTCACAGTGCTTGTATTTAAAGAAAGGGGCTGGCCTTGTGGCAAAGCAGATAAAGCTGCAGCTGTGACACCAGGATCCCATATGGAGGCTCTCTGAGTCCTGGCTGCTCCACTTCCAAAGCAGCTCCCTGCTAAGGGCCTAGCAAAGCAGTGCAAGTTTGACCAGGTGTTTGGGGCTCTTGCTACTCACAAAGGAGACCTGGATGAAGCTCCAGGCTCCAGGCTCCAGGCTCCAGGTTCTGGGCTCCTGGTTCCCGGCTCCAGGCTCCCAGCTCCTGGCTCCAGGCTCCAGGCTCTGGGCTCCTGGCTCCCGGATCCAGGCTCCCAGCTCCTGGCTCCAGGCTCCAGGCTCCCAGCTCCTGGCTCCCGGATCCAGGCTCCCAGCTCCTGGCTCCAGGCTCCAGGCTCTGGGCTCCTGGCTCCCGGATCCAGGCTCCAGGCTCTGGGCTCCTGGTTCCTGGCTCCAGGCTCCTGGCTCCTGGCTTTAGCCTGACTGGGTCCTGGCTGCTGAGGACTACTTGGAGTGCGAATCAAAGGATGGAAGATTCTCTCCCTGACCCTCCCCTCCCCCGTCTGTCTCACCCTGTCTCTTTAACTCTACTTTCACACAAATAAATGTTTTATAAAAAACAAATAAAAGGAGAAGAAACATTTCTAATGACCAACTTAAGTTGTAAGATATTGGACTTTAAAAAAGGGGGAGGGCAAGGTAAACCTAAAGCAGATGGAGAGGTGAAAATCCTGCACAATTTCCTATGTAAGTGTTTAGCTGTCTGTGATTTATGCGTAACGTTTCACTGAATGGATAAATTCATCAGTGGTTGATTTTGCCAATTTTCTATTGTTGTGCATTTAAGTTGTTGGCAATTTTAAGCTTTTATACTAACACTGCTGTAAATATCCGTATATATATAAAATTTCACATGTGTGCATGTATTCATTCATATTCATGAAAGTGAAATTTTCTGGATCAAATAGCAATTGCGAATGGTACCCCAAAGAAATTACATTCATTTGTACTTGCACTAGTAAATCACACGAGTGCCTGGTAATCTTACCAGTGGTTAATGTTATTAAATGTCTGTATCCTTGTCTTGTCCAGTAAATGAAAAATGGCACCTCAGGATTAAGTTTAGGGAGCTTGTAATAATCTCACACATATATGGGGAAAATGATAAATGTTTTTTGAGAGAATAAAGGCAAACCCAGAGATGCGATGTAGTCCTAGATGGATAACTCACCACCACAAACATGTCAGTCCTCAACTCTACCCTGAAATTTGCTATGATTACATATCAAATCTTCATTGAACCCCCATGGGTCCTGACAAGCTGTGCTGCAATTCCTACTGTGTGTGTGTGTGTGTGTGTGTGTGTGTGTGTGTGTGGACACACACATGTGCACATGTGATAGCCTAGTGGCTAAATCCTCGCCTTGCATGTGCCAGGATCCCATTTAGGCCCCAGTTCATGTCCTGGCTGCTCCACTTCATATCTAGCTCCCAGTTGTCTGAAAAAGCAGTCGAGGACGGCCCAAAATCTTGGATCCTGCACCCATGTGGGAGACCCAGAAGAAACTCCAGGCTCCTGGGTTCAGATCAGCTCAGCTCTGGCTGTTGTGGTCACTTGGGGAGTGAACCAGCAGAAGGGAGATCTGTCTCTCCTTCAGTCTGTAAATCTGAGTTTCCAATAAAAACAATCTTCAGAAAAAGAAGAGCAAGGAGGAAGATTCCTCTTGTCAGACTTGGGGTTGAAAACACTGTGATGATCATGTGGCTTGGCGCATCAGTGAGAACTTGGTGGAACAGAGCGGAGAATCTAGATGCACACTACACAACATCACAAACACCCAGTAACACCAGCCAAGTCAAAGAAGCTGAGAAACAGAACGCTCGCATGCTGGTGGTGACAGTGGATCCTGGACTCTCTCAGGATTCTTGGGCATTGAGTATGTGGGCAATCTGCAACCCAGCATTGCCTCTTCTGGGAGAAAGCTTATGGCCTGGTCACAGGAAGACATGTAGTGGCATGCTTGTTGGAGAAAAAAAAAACAATTGAAAAATAACCTACATATGCACATTACATCACATAATGTATGAGCAGCTAGATAATACATAATATACAAGCATGTAGATTGGATGAACTAATTTCATATACAACTGTGCAGATGTCTAAAACAAGATGGATAGTATGAAAGCCTTGATGTGAATTTTTAGAATAATTAAAATCCCACTCCACGCTAAGCATCTAGGGCAGGACATCACAGTTATGAAAAAGGAAAACTCAGAAGATGCTTACTCTGCGATTCGAGAGTAGGGCAAGGTCTCTTTACCTTTGGAAGATCCCTCGAGCAAGAGCAGGAAGTCGGAGAGGGGAAAATAAAACCACCAGGGCACAAATGACAAGACAGATTTGGGGCTCAAGCAGTGGGAAGACTTCAGACAACAAGAGTGAGGCGTCAGCCACAGAAGGAACAGCCTTGGGAGAATTGAGTAAAATGTTCTGACTTGGTAGTTTTAAAAAACATATACTCAGTTACCCTGTCATGCTTCTCTCTGTCCAGTTTCTAACTTATAAATGTGATCATTCAGCCGACATTTGTTAGTCCCTGTACTATTCTGGGCACTGTCTTGGGTTCTGGAGATCCAGGCTGGTGGGGAGAGCAGCTGGGGTCATTGACTAATGCTCACAGCCCTGGGGGATGGCAAAAGGTGAGCTGATATTCTTCAGTTCCTCCTGAGAGAATCTCCCAGTTCGTGAAACCCAGCCTGCCTGGCCCTGATTGGAATGGCCACAGGGATTTTATAATCCCTAAGGTTTTTTTTCCCCTCCATCCTGACTAAACCCAGGAGGGTTGTGCTGTGAGGTCATTGTTTACCATCACTTTAAAAAAATCTTCTGTCTTTTGTGGGCTGGCTCTGAGCCGGGCGACACCAGGATGGGTGTGTGAATCGACTCCAGCCAATGTTATGATTGTCTGGGACAGCCAAACATTGCTGCTCATGACCTTGGGGCAGCTCCACGTGGCCTGAGCTCTCCACTTTCTGCTGCCACTGGGATGGGGAGGCATCGTAAGCAGCTCATCTTAAGCATGCACTGTGTTACACTCGGGTGGCTGGGGAGAAGATGAACTTCCGAGCCCTCTGGGAAAGATTAGAATGTACACTCGCCCTGATGTGTGAAGATCTGATCTACACATGATGTCACCACATCACATGACTCTTTAAACAAACATGCACTGGCGAGGGGAACTTTCTGCCAACCACTGTCCCCAGGATGAGTGGGCCATACTGGGCTCCTTGGACATTCCTTGCATGCAGCCCTGCTTTGCAAGTGTGGAGCTGTCACAGAAGCAAGTTTTTGAAAATCTGTGTGATCCCTTTGCAAATTTGAGTTGACTTTTGAGAGTGTGTGTAAGGTTAGAGAGGCCGTCTGACAAGTATGATTTGCTAAGAATGTAGGCCTTCCCTGGCTGTGCAGGGGATGTCCACCCAGGTTCCCAGAAAGAAAGCTCATGTTGTTTGCATCAGCCTTGCAACTGGGCCTCAAATTCAATCCCCTGTTCAACAGGCTGAGCATCTAGTTGGTTTGTGGCACAACCAGCATCACATCGTGGTGGAGGGAAATCCTTGGGCTATTGCTTAGGAAGCCAGAGCTGAGGTCTG